TCTAGGGGAGGCAATATACTATGTTTTAGTTCCAAATTAGGACAAATCCTGTGTGATTTAAGGAAGCACCATAATCACTGCAGTACCCTGGAGTGGTTATTGTGCCAGGAGTGCCTTAGCACCTATCCCTCCCCATGTAAAAACTATCGGTAAACGGAGTATTAACAACATTCTTGGAGTCTGAACGGAACAGTGTAGTTTCACTGCAGAAATGGTATTTGTAGGTACATTCTTAAAAGCAATGGTTATCTGTTGGTTAAGGAAAATCTAAATTGGACATCATAACTGTTGAATGTGTTTAGTTAATATATGGAGAAGCAGACACTGACCTTTTCCCATAAGCAGTTACATAGAAATAGTTTATTTGAAGAAATTAAGTAATAATATAGAGCATCCCAAACTGGTTTTGTTAAGAATATTTGGGATTCAAATTGCCATCAAGTTGACCCGTTTGCATGTGACGGTCTAAAATTGATATTGGTTATAAAAGAGCATCTTCTAGAGCGGGGGACGACTACACCATATTGAATTATATGCAGCCTGAATAGTTATTCTAATCCTACAGCTTTCAATATGTTTTTTTCCTTTATATTAACCATAGCAATTTTGTAAGAGAAAGGGGGAAAGATCTTTCCCCACAGCACTGGAAAAATTAAAAAAAAAAAAATCTATACATAAACTGCAAATATATATTTCAAGTTGCAGAAAATCAAATCCTAAATCGCACCAATTAAAGGATGCAATATCAACCTGATGTTCAGTAGCTAATTAGAGTATTATGGATTAAACCTTAAATGGCATGAAAAAGTAACATGTTCCGTGTGAGATGTAGTAATTTGCACACGGTTCTGCAGAATTCAAACGTATTTGGATACATTTCCCTGTTGTGGAAATAAAAGTGTATTGAAGGCTTTCTTACCTTGCTTGATATTGCCACTCTATTCCAAATGCCTTTAGGATGTGGGGTTGATATTTAGCTTCTTCAGAACTGACTGTTTTCATAGCGATCTGTTTTTCCAGCTATTAATGGACTGGGATTCCACTGCATTAACCGTTGGAATTTATGGACCAGCCATAATTAAATACGCAGGACATTCCATGGTGGCATAAGCATTATTGGACCAAATTTAAACAATGGTAATTTGTAAATATAGCCCCTACTCCATCCCTATATTTACCAAATGTGTTTCTTAGGTGTGAAAAAAAAATTATAAAATTGAAATGTAGAAATCCATGCCTCTTTCCTGCAACTGGGCACCTCCATCTTATTTACCCTGTCCTTTTATTCATATAAACCCCTCTCCTTTGTAGCTGGCATAGAGTAGCATGCATTGCCTTGTCAGAACTGGATAATGATGCAACTTTCAATATTTAATGTAAAAGTAAATAGAGCATCTAATAAACAAAAGTGAACACAAGTTTGGTTATACTCGTTATTTATTGTAACTTCCAGAGAAATATAAAAAAAGTACAATTGTAACAAACTTTGAAACACTTACAATGGACACATTAGTACTAACTAGGCCTGTTGTAATGGAATGCATTCGGCAAGCAATTTTAGCCTCTTAGAGCTCAAAATTTCTATTGGTAAGTTGGTTAAAGTGATTGTTCATGGGGTGTTTATTTGGTTAGTAGACCTGGCTGCCATTCTTGAATACTTTAATTGAAACATGGATAGTTTATTAAACGGTGTTGCAATATAGGTTAATGTTGAAATTGTAACCCCATGGGCAGCTGTCAGTAAGATAAAACTGGTGGATGCATAATGGTGTGTATGAAATAGCCTCTACTCTTTTAGCCGGATTCCTCACTGACTGGTCATTAACTTTGCCAGCAGTGTCCACTAAACTGCTAAATGTCTTTACTCCCTGACCCTCTGTTTCTGTCTTTACACACTGTAACACCTACTTTCCCTAATTAGACTGACCTCTTCTCACAAGCTACTGCATTCCCCATAAACTACCACTGCCCTCTCTTCCCAACCTGCAACAACCTCTGTTAATATTCATTCTGCTCTCTCCTTAAAGATTTCAGCCGTTGCAATCAGCAGTCCTCTTTTTGGAATGCAGTGCCCACTATCAACTTGCATTGTCTGCTCCCATGTCATTTTTCTAGAACGTAACACCAGCTATCATCTACTGTACTGCCATTACTCACTGTTCCCACACTGCTTTATCAACTGTTCACTTAATGCCACTACTTTCTTTTAGACTGCTATAGCCCTGTTCATTGTAATTCCATTCCCTCCTCCCCTCCCACTCCCATCCTAAGCACTGCTTTAGCAATCTTCCTAGTTTGTAGTAACCACAATCTTATAATTGGAATGTCCATTTCCTTCAGATTGCAAAGCCCCTAAAATCCATAACCTTTCCCAGACTGAGGCAAACCCAGTTAAAGACCTCCTCTAATATAGTAATCCATGCATCTCAACCACCACCACCGAAGTAGACTTCTGAATTACATCTCCCATGATTATCTATTGCATTTAAACAATTTTGGGAGTCTTAGGCCATCAACAAATTGTAAAGCGCTGCGGAATAAGCTGGCGTTATATAAATAAGCAATGATAATAACACAGATTGAGATCTCTGCATCTAATCACTGTATTAGTTCACTCCTCCCACACTGCTTTGCCAAATATCCACATTGCCCTCTTCCCAGACTGCAGCTTCTACAATCCACACTGTGCCACTGTCAGGTTGCTATAGTTGATAGCTTAAGTTCTACCCTGAACTGTATCTCCCTTTATCTCAACTGTGCATGGTGTCTCCTGTCTGCACACTATCCCAGACTCCAATACACAGCATGCTGTGAACTACCATTGCCCTCATTTCAGACAACAGTTCCCACAGGACTCTCCCCTCAGGCAACAGAACTCGCTGTCCGCTGTGTACCAGTACCTCTCCTCACCAACCGAATCACTGCCTTCTTGCAGACTATAGCTCTCACTACAGTATTGTATCATTGTCCTCTCTTCAAAGACAGCAGTATCCACCATCCATAGTACTGTGCTCCACTGCTCCCATACTGCAATATTTTTTTTTTCCTGCCAACTGTAAATCATTGTCCTCTCAAGTTTTCCTATTTGTTCTGCTACATTGCCCTCTCGTGTTAAACGAACACTCACTGTCCATATACTGCCTTGTTCTCCCAAATTACAACATCCACCACCTATCTGACCGCAATGCTCCTTTCATGCTATACTGCTGTTTTCCAGACTTTAAAATACATTGTACTCCTATCAACTGCATCTCCAACATGTCTTCAACCACTGTGGTATTGGTCCTCTCCTGACTACAGTGACCATTATTCCCAACCTCTGTACTATGATTGCCTCTCTCCTCCCAGGCTGCAGAGCCTACTATCTCATGTACTACCACTGTCTATCTTTGTTCCCTAACATCATGTCCCTTTCCTCTCTTGCTAGGGTCCTTTTGCTGAACTCTTACCCACATTGCGATTCACATCAGTCAGCATCTACTGTACAACTGCCCCTTCCTCACAAACTATAACATAGGCGGTCACTACCACTTTGCTCCCTGAGCAATGCCCATTGCTAGCCCCTGACAGACAGCTGTGGTTCCTTCACACTGCAAGCACTGTTCTTTTCCCTGACTGTAAAGGCCATTCTTCCATGTAGAGTGTTATCACTGCCCTCTCTGTCGACACTGCAGTACGCACTCACCAATGGACAGCTGTTTTCAGACTACAATGCCCATTATGCATTGTAAAGGCCTATCCTGTTACCTATCTGTCTACTTCCCAGACTTCAGTGCCCACTGTACCGCTACTGCCCTCTCGCGCTAGCCTGCAATGCCCACTATTCATTTTTACTTTCTTATGATCTCTATGGTCTTCTCTCAGACTGCAGTGCTTATATCCTCTTACCTCTACCCACTACCATGATTAGTGTCCACTGTACTGCTATTGTTTCCTCTTCCCAAACTGCAATGCCCTCTAGCCAATGGACAGCCATCTTCCCAGACTCCAGTAGATACATATTCTCTTACATTTGTCCACTTCACTGCCCTCCTTCTTCCCAGACTGCAGTGCACTCATTTCTCTCTTAGATTGTAGTGCCCACTACCCATTATTACAGGCCTCTCCCTAAACTGCAGTATCCACTCTGCTACCGCAATCCCTAATTAACCATTGCACGCCCCTTTAATTGACAGCCCACGATCTTCTCAGAGTATAGTTCCCATTATTTATTGCACAGCTGTATCTTCCTCGACTGCATTGTGCAGGTCTCTTCCTAGACTGCGTGCCCACTAGCCACCTTCACCCTCCGATTCCTGTGCCCATTATCTCTACTCCTATTGCCTCTAAGCTCTTTTCAGACTGTAGGACTTCAGACTTCTGCCCACTTCCCAGTCTGCAGTGACCACCACCTGCAGTACAGTCCCCTCTTCCCAAACTACAGTGCACTGCTTCTACGCTCTCTATACGGATGGCAGTGCCTATGATCCTCTCTGTACTACTACTGTGTACTTCCAAGACTATCCTATTTCCCCCAGTGCTGACTTATCTTACACTTCAATGCCCACTTATCTTTTCTCCAATCTGCAGTGTGCAAACCTCTATATTCTCACTGCCCAAACCTCCCAGACTTCAACTTCCACTAAAATGATTAAAGCGTTGTCAAGTGCAGCTCTGTTTATACGCTTTGCATGTTTCAAAAATAAAATGCTATATATATTTTTAGGTCTGCAAGTAACTAAATGTTGGTTTCATAAAAAACTGCTGTAGCACCAAAATGCAATACTGTCATCGCTAATCCACTTTATTTACTACTACTGTTGATGGATCCCAACAGTAGTCTTTGTTTATCCTCTAATCCACTGGCTCCTCCATCACCTATTGGCATACTACCCTCAATACCCTATCCATCGTTTTTACAATGCATCTTGCAAATATATATATATATATATATATATATATATATATATATATATATATATATACACATACATACACACACACACACACACACACACACTCTGCTTTTAGAATCTCCTAAAGAGACAAGTCTAATAGTCTTCTGCTTTCTAATGCTAAAGATTTAGTTACTCTGGTCAGTCGAACAGTCATTTCCATCTGTTTAGAGTAATCTCTGTTCAACTAACATTGACGTAGTTTAGAAAATATGTAATCTTTTTTTTATTTTATTTACCTAAGATACATTTATCTTAAAGGGACACCATAGGCACCCAGACCATTTAATTTTATTGACACGGTCTGGGTACAGTGTGCTTGTCCCTCTTAGCGATGCAATGTAAATGTACACTGCAGTTTTAAAGGGCATCTGTCATGCTCCAAACAACTTATGCTCACTAGATTGAGTATATGATTTAATCTATAAATTTGCATGCCAATGTATAAATTAGGATGAAAACCTACAAAAAAGACAGTTGGAATCAAAACATTACAGAAGTAAATTTTGAAAGATAAACATAAAATTGCTAACACTAGATTACTAAAAAAATATATATATTATGGCAAATAACGTGATGAAATTGAATTGTGTGGAGAGGACTGGGGGACTTTTGTGACAATTACACCACTTCATGCTGCAAAATGTCCTGTCAAATTGAGTGTCAACTATAATTTCTTCAAATGGTTATTTTGCGACTACCTCTGACTTTATTACTGGACTCATGAACAGATCTTTAAATATGTAATTCCTGTAAACAATGTGGGACTCATTCTAAAGAATTCTCTGCATGAAGATTCTGTGGTGTGAATCCAATCATGATAGGTTTGTTCCAGGTGACATAAAAGAATTAAGTCAAAGTATTCCAAAGGTTAACACTTTAAGGGTTGGTCTGTTTCTTAATATTGCAATATAGCTCATCCAAAGTAAAACCAGAAATGGCTATATAGGAGTGAGCTCTGAGCATTGTGCAAAGATTTTTAAAGACCTTATAGGTAAAAATGTGTCAGTGCTATTGGACTTGTTTGTTCTTGTTTTAATTGGTCTTATTTTAACAATTTTGTGCGAGCGTTTTATTTGTTACCAATATAGTTTGGTAACATTTTGGTTTGCCACTATCTCTTTGGAATTGTCTTTTGAGTAATTACTGGGGATCAGATACATGAAAAGCACAACAGATGGATATAAAACCAGATCTGATAGCTTGAGCCAACTATATGTGGCCCAGGGACATATCGGTTGAATACCTACATCCGTATGTTTGTTTATGAATCTGTAAATACTCTTCAAATGATCTTAAATATAGATAAATTTGTTTCCATAACAGCAAGAATAATATCATATGAATTGATATAATATATGATGCATAAAAAAAACCTCCAGAAAAACAAATAACAAGGGTATACAGTTTACATATATAAGATACCAAACATCACCCCTTTTACATAACAAGTAGATATGAAAATTAACTAGAACATAGCGATGTTAACAATTATCTGACGCATGGAATATGTGACGGGTACATCTTCATGAAAGCGTTTTGTATGCAAAATGGAGTTTGCATTGTTGGCATAAAGAAATTCTAAAACCGAATAAATGTTGTTGTTCCATTGGCAATAACTTTCATTTTAGAAATATGCTATATAATTGTTGGGTAACCTAAACCCTGGGTAACTTAAAACTAAACAGTGGTGCTTCTATGTATTTTCTAGAGCATCTGAACATCAGAGCTCTATAATGTAAATTGATGTAAATTGTAAATTGGGTAAAAGGGTAAAATGTAAATTGGGTCTTGAAATACTAGCAATTCTATCTAAAACTGAAGGACGACTAGAGACCTTGAATGATTTACATATGACACGTGAACTAAAACTGTTGGATTTCAAGATAGAAATGTGTTCACTTGATGCTGTTTTATCTTATCTTTCACAGATGAGCAAATGATCAGGTATATATTTTTTCCATTATATAACAAACTTACAAAGGAAACTGCAGAGTGCATTTGAAAGATATATTCTCTACCTTTAATAAAGGTAAAGGATTATTCACTTATATTTGATTCTCACTTTAGTGAATAGCCCCTTTTAGTCTTTGCTTTTTTCAAAATGGTTTTAATAATACTGTTAGACAAGGAACCAGCAAGTATTAAGAAATATAACTGTGTCCATATCATTAATGCTTAGAACGGTTAGTGATATTCTATTTCCGAGTCTAACCTAGTTTAACAAATTGATTAGTGTTTTATTTGAAAAAAGTCAGACTATATTAATATTTAAGAGAATGTAATTTTAACAGAAATATGGTAAATGCTTCCGAAGTAATATCCCCTTTTTTACCTTTACTTTTTTACTCCTTTTCATATTTAACAACTATGTACTGATAAGGTGAAAAATAAATGTAAATTTTGAAATCCATATCTCTTCCATGTCTAGGCGTGCTAGAAACTTTCCTTTACATCTAAAGGCAGTCAGCGTAGCGAACGGGGGAAAAAAGCAATACACATGAGCTGACCTTGCAGTGAATGGTGTAGCACAAGAGAGCTAGCAGGCACTTTCAACTCTCATCTGACAGGCTTCAAGTAAGAAGTCAAACAGTTTAACACCATAACCAGTACAGTGCGCAGTAGTGATAATATTGCCCTACATTAGCCAGGCTAAATTCTGGTACTTCCTGTCGGAAATTCTAAATGTCCTTGTTTAATTCAGTCAGTCCTCAAAGATTAGTATGCGAAAGATAGACTAAAATGTAACCAAGCTAGACCCTGAAGGGCATTGCTGATCCTACATAAAAAATATTACTATAATAATGATGGACAGTAAGGGCACAGACATGGACTTAAAAAAAAAAAATATATATATATATATATATATATATATATATATATATATATTTCTTTTCCTAATTTCATAAAGCCAGAAAATCATAAACATTAATGCAAAAAAAAACAATGATCCTAATGTCAGCCCTTAATGGAAATTCTAAAACCTACGCTAAAATCTATAGCAACAAAGTTTGTGTTTACGAATACATACCAAACAATAGATTGAGGGGGGCACTATGGTGATAGGAATACAAAACTGCATTCCTAACACTACAGGGACCTTCTGGCTGAGTTGTACTCCAAAAATGCAGTGTTTTGCATTGCAGGGTAAAAGGGGTCTGGGGCACTGCACAATGAGAAAGTAATCTGGGTGCCTACCGTTTCCATTTAAAACGTTTCTCAAGGTAATATAATGGATTATTAACAAGATATGGTGATGTATATGAACATATAGTTACTGAAGTGAGAATTCAAAGGTTATTTGAAATTGTAAATCGGTTATTTTTTTCACTTATTTTTTAAAGGAAACCTTTTCATACATTACTCATATTTTATTTATTTTTTTCCTCATACTTGGTTAAGCATTTTTTTGTGCAAATTGCTAAACAATTAGGAAAGCTTTCCCTTGGCAAAATGTTAACTTTTATTAAAACAAATCCTCCTATTTTTGTAAAATTGTTATTTATGCTTGTCTCTTGTGTAAGAGGGCGTTCATATTCAAGAGAATACCTGTACTTCATGGCAAATAAGCATAACAAACAATAGTTTCAGGTCACATCAACCATAAACTGTGTTCCTAGGGTTTTGTATTTTAATAACTATAAACTAAGCCCAGATGGATCCTTAAATGGTTTGTTTTCCCCAAAAGTGCATGCAGTGAATGATCACTGTGGGAATTAAAAAATAAAGTGTAAATTGTAACCCCCTGAAGTTAGGTGTAAGATTAAACTAAAACATGATGGTGTTGCTAAATGAATCGTGCTGGCTGTCCGGCAGTATATGCTTCCAGATAAGCCTTGTGGTTAAAATACAAGGTTAACGAAAATAAAGTGTGATGAAACCACACAGAACAAGTCCTTGGTATAGGAAGATTGACCCTACTATTATTTGATTAGTCAGCTTCATATAAAGATTTCTCCCAAATATTCAATGCAAATCAATATCTACAGACAAAATACATAATAAAAAAAGTTGTTCATAGCAACTAAGTTATGCACTCTTAATGAAAAATAGTGTGCATCTCTCTCACCTGGGGGATTACTTTCCTGCACCTATCCGGTTTTCACCACGCTGTACTTAAAGGGACACTTCATTGCCCAAATTTTTAAAGTTTTTAGTAATACTCACTCCAAATGAAAATATGCATTTAAATTATGCACATTTTCATTGGGTGTATTTATGAAAACAGTTTTTAAAAGTTTCAGTTCTTGTCTCCTGCCTTTGCAATCCCTTCTCTAACCCCGCCCAGGCTGTGGTTGTCCAATCAGACTTCCCAAAGCAGCTCACTAAGTAAGTCAGGTAGACTGGGCAATTGTCTGCCTCTTGAGTTAAGCTCCACTGAGCTAACCAAACCAGGAAGTTGGGATACAAGTTACGCATTTAGCAAGCTTAGGGGTCCGGAGTGTCTCTTTAAACAAAAGAACATAGTGTATAAAACACGTCTTTAATAAAAACTGCGTGTACAGAAGTATAATATGATCAAGCTTATTAACACGTCTGTTTGGGTCTCCATTTGTACTGACACGTGGCATATGTGGATTATAGTTAATTAAATGATTGACCAAATACATCAGGCTAATTTTTAAGTTAATAATTTTGTATGGCCTGCAAATTATGTTTTTAAATATCCAAATGGCCATTTGCAGATAAGATTCCCCACCCCTGCTGTACAGGAACACCCTTCACCAACATAAGTCCATTCCACTCATTTAATGTCTGCAGCTATGCTGGAAATATAAGCTGCTACCACCCTTCCAAGCAATAAAGGAAGTTTCAAAGGGTCTTACCATTATTACAGTCAGGAATGGGGAGAAGTTAATGGAAATGATCTGTTAGCTTTCCAAATACCTAAATTTTAGAAATATATTATTAATTGGTGTTTACTATATGTGGACATTATGCTTAAGTGCATATATTCTTTTTAATTTTATGTTGGCTGTACTGCTAGTAATATTTTCAGGATCCTTACAAGTAGAAGTGTTTTTTTTTTGTTTTTTTTTTGCGTTTATAGTAAAATTTCAGACTCTGTGAAATGTGTACAGCATCAATTATCTTACAAGTATGAGAAATTTCTACTTGCTGCTAGCCTTTAGCAAGGGTAAATTTAGCCCTGGTGAGTGTAACTTAGACCTTTCAAGCATGCTAGTAATTGTTTATTTTTACACATAGCTAGTGGTGTATAATTTGACAGTTCGCATACTGCTGTATATGGTCTAAAGCTCTTTGTTTCCCAAGCATCGTATATAAAGGATGAATGAATAAACTAAAAACAAATTGCCAGTTTACATAATTATAACTGCTTGCTCAAAGAGCAATTTGTACATTATGCGATGTTTATGGGCTAGCTATTTCTTGTTTGAATTTTTTTTCTTTTTATACCATATTTTAAAGTGCTTTGAAGTGAAGGTTACTTGTTGCATAATCTGATTTAAAAAATAAAAAATAAAAATCCTTAAGTTCAACGTTGAAACTCATTCTTCTATGCTGTTGATACAAAAGAAGGCAACACCCAATTGTAGCCATATCCAATTATGCCACTAAAGGGGGGCAAAATCCATCTTGACTCCATAATGGCAATCCAATGTATCCTATAATATACTTATATGTCCATGAATATTCTTTTTGGTTTTTTGCAAAACCACACATTTTAAAATATCTGTAGAACCTCCTCTTTACAGTAAGAATAAAGATAAACACAAAAAGTTATTGCGTAAAACATGTAAAAAAAACTTGTAGATACTTTATATAAACCGTTCTATTATTCCTTGTGTTGAACCTTTTAAGATAAAAATGCAACCTCTAGGGCAGAATGTCTATACAGTTTAAAACCAAATAATCAGAATCTTATGGTATTAATCTCACTGCATTTGAGTGGAATGTGTGCCACTCTCTCATTAACAGCCCTGGATTAAGCTTCTTGAGTTTGGTGGATCCAACGGGCATATTCCGGACTGCAGACAGACTGTTGGTATTTATGAAGCCTTTATTATTTCTCAAGTAGTTATAAACATTTAAAACTATTCAAATATTAAAATCCTAGGAAGCCTCTCTGTGTAACTATTTAGTCGCTCAGCGGTTCTTCCTGTCTTGTCACCTCAATTGCATAATGCTCTAGGGGCGATTACATATATAAAGTTATAGATTGCCTTTTCCAAAGCAAGCATTTTGCTAATGTTTTTATAAATGTATGTTTTAATGTAACTATGAAGCACTTTGGGCAACAACTTTGCAATTAAATGTGCTAAATAAATAAAAGTTGAAATGCATTTTTCACACTATCAAGCTTGCCATGTGCACTTTTTAAATTTGATCAATTGGTTAGTGTAATGTTTACCATCTTTACTCCAAACACTCCACACAGTTACTCTGCCCAGTCCAACCTTTCCACAGTTACTCCAGCCACTCCGCCCACTCCACTTGTAGATTACTGGTGGAGGCAAGAACACTTCACACAATTTCCCCAGAAATTGTAGCTTTTCTAGTTACCATTATAAAGTCTTAAAGCATAGAATTTAGCAGGGCTGACTATACAGACATCCTTAGCTATTTAAAATGCATAAATAATTAAAAATACAATAAAGTAGGGATTGTGTTGGAAGCAATAAAGGTTAAAATTTAATCTTTTAAACTCTGCTGTAAATTATTATAATGGATAATTAAATTATGTCTATATTTAAGGTACATGCTTGAATCTGTACAATAGAATAACATACCCTCTTGAACAAGTCAACCTCAGTCTCTGCATCCAAATTTTCCCCTCTGTCTCTATTGTTGAGTACACTTATTTATACCATAGTTTTTCAATTCATGTTTGGAAAATCGAAAAATAAACTTGATCTATCTTTAACCTAGCAAAGTTACGAGGCCATGACCATTAAATGACATGGCCAACTTGTTTTAGTTTTACATAGGAACACCTTAACTGGTCTTTTGTCATGAGCTAGACCTCTTAATCTGTTTGTACTAAATCTTAAAGTTGGATATGATGTATACAAGACCCTGACTTGCTATCACATTAACCTATGACAAAATGGCGACTTAGTCTAAGCATCTTCTTAACGTATCTGGTCAATTGGTCCATTTGATAAGTAAAGAAACATTGTATTAGAAGTTAAATTTTCCATTAAGAATAACTTCCTAGTTTGCAAAATATCTTAAAGAAAAAGTACACTTTAAGAAATACAACTTTTCCTTTGAAAAACCTGTAATATTTAAAAATGTTAATAACAATGTATTACATTTAAAACATTTTTAGAGCGGTCTTCAATTTAGTTGTGAAACAGGCTTGTACCCGTGATATTTTTTTTTCTTTTTTCCTCAAGTGATCAATGTATGAAGTTAACTTGTATCCCAACCCAAAGAAATCGAATGACCTTATCTAAAAATCATTGTGCATAGCTTCCTATTCCTGTAGCCTTTCAAATGGTATGTGATTAACGCCTTTATGAAAATGGTTTAGGTGGGCGTTTTTTGTGATGGTCTGATCATTTAGATCACATGTTCCAAAATGACAGTCTGCAAATGATGTATGGGATATAAAAATAATTTATAATACAGCGCTATACACACAAATGATAAGCGGCAAAAACTGATAACCCTTCCGAAATCCGCTAAAGCAAAGTCAAATACCGTAAGAAAGTTTTGAGCTACAAGCCCCATTTTTTACACAAGTGTATTCCCTCACCCTCTTTCTCCTGCGACCACACGTAGACTCCTATCAGTCGATATGTAACTAGTGTTATACCGTAACTTTTGACACTTGTAATATAGTTTGACCATGGTGTGTACTTATGATGGTATTATCATCACCACCACACGATATACTAATCACAGCGTCAGGAAAGATCACAAGTGTGATCTGTTACAAGACATTTCACTTGCAAAAATTGGCAGTCTCGATCTCCGTTCTTTTTTTCTATAAATATGGCAAACTGAATGTATATTTTATCAAAATTAAGTAAGTAGTGCTTATATTACATCGCAGAATTAAAACCGAAATAAAGTTTCTATATTTTACATTTAAAAAGATTTCTATGGCAACCAGAGTAAGAAGCATGCTTTTTGTTATAAGGGGAAAGCAAAAAGTTAATGTAGATTTATTTTTTTTAACATGTACTTATGCATGATATGAATAAAACTATATCTGTTACCATGGTAACGGTAAGCTTTTCTGCACAATAAAGTAATATTGCAATAACTTGGTGTAGAAGTTGTGAATTACTAGTTTATATGAGTAACTGATACGTATGTGTAGTGCTGTGTTAATAGCAACTGTTTGCAAATGCATTAAAGGACCACTATAGGCACCCAGACCACTTCAGCTTAATGAAGTGGTCTGGGTGCCAGGTCCAGCTAGGGTTAACGCTTTTTTCTATAAACATAACAGTTTCAGAGAAAAAAATAGGGTTCATCCAGCCTCTAGTGGCTGTCTCATCGACAGCCGCTAGAGGCCCTTGCGTGCTTCTCACTGATTTTTTTTTTCAGTGAGAAGACGCCAGCGTCCATAGGAAAGCATTGTGAATGCTTTCATATGAGACTGGCTGAATGCGTGTGCGGCTCTTGCTGCGCATGCACATTCAGCCGAGGAGGAGAGCTCCCTGCCCTGCACTGGAGAAAGAGGTACGTTTAACCCCTTCCTCACCCTAGAGCCTGGCAGGAGGGGGACCCTGAGGGTGCCTGGCACTATAGTGGTCCTTTAAGGTACATCTTGGAATATGAATCAAATAGACTGGTTGCCATGGTAACGTGTATACTATGCAGTCTAAAAATCAGAAACTTCCTATAAATTAGTAACTTGATAACTTATATTCTATACACCTCTAATACATGTGGTTAGTGCTTGGTTAATGTAAACTGTTTGTGAATGTATAAAGTTTAATGTTATAGGTATTAGCAGTGAATACCATGTATATAAATATACATATATGTATTGACCAGATTTGAAAAATAAATCCAGGAAATAAAGTGGACTGGCTTAATTTAAATTGTATATTGGTCAGAAATTCAGTATACAGATGATTGTGTGTGAGTAGAACTATAGACATAAGTTTAGTTATAGAGGTGTATATTGAAGGATTCACTTTAACAAGAGAATATTAATAAATTATATTTCTGACATAGTTTATATAGTAATGTTTATAATTTGAGCTGAGGGAAACCAACAAATATTACAGGAATGAGACTCTAGAAGACACGATCGCTAATGGGTTCAAGTAGCTGAAATTTCTTTGAGTTGGGGCAAAAAAAGAATAATGCAACTTTGGTAAAGAGAGCAGCATTTTGCTTAGATACACATAACTTTTAACATAAATTGTGTGAATTAATGCACATAAAATAAGTGCTTATCTGATTGGTGTCAGATAACAGGTTTGATATTGAAATAAAAAATAAATGGTTATATAGTGCAAAAGCAGTTTGAAGGAAATAAAGCACATCTTGTATACAATACAATGTGTATCTGTCACCAAGGAAGGCTGGAAATGGGGTTTCAATAAATTAATGAATTCTTGGGTTGCATTTAACAATCAGACTTGCATGTTTACATCAATGAAGTTATTTCTTGTGGGGGAGAAACGAAAATAATCTAAAAAAAAAAAAAAAGAAAATGCCCAAATCAGTCATGGAGTGCCCCCAGCATTACTTGAGCCCTTTATGAATCTTTTTCTTTTACTTCATTTTCATACAAGGTAAGCGTTAGTAATTTTTCCAATATATTTTTTTCCCATCTATCCCATAGACCCGAAACTTTAATGGGCTGTTTGGTTAATTCTTTTCCATCTTTCACTGGTATATTAGTTGAGAACTTATTTAGGTTAAAAAAAAAAAAATCATGCTCTCCCTTCCAGTTTTTCCCATCAACCAGACTGTTATTAAAAATTGATCTGACTTTTTTAATTTAGGCCAGTTTAGTTGTTATAGCATTGCCTATGGTGTTTTAGGGAATTTGACCTTACATAGACTGAATGTTTTGAACCCCTAACCAAATTGACACATTTGTACAAGACCACCACATGTGTATATAACTTCCTTTTTCTACCACACATCTCCAACAGTTTTAACTCCATATGAGATTTTGGAGAATCTTGTTGGGGTCATGTACCATAAGTTAATACATTTAAAATGCGTTGCAATCAGTGACAGAGAATGTAAATATTTGTTGATCTTTTAGCTAGATAGAAACAAATCGTTTTAATGTATATCTATCTTTCCTTAGATCCTTGGCTCTTTTTTTTTTATATTGCTATTGTGATTGTTTAGGTCTATTAATCTGTAACAATCCTTTTATGAAATAAATTACATTTTGATACCAATTGAACTTTTTCTAAAGTGTTCTACTCGAATATAAGAGAAAATTTAATTCCTTGTCAACTGAAAGTCATTCACTACATTATTGAAAGGTTTCATCTTATTTAGAATTAGATCTCTAATTGATTGTATGTGTCTAATTTTCAGGATTTTAAATAAATATTATTTATTGCTCTTTCTAATGCATCTAGATTTTGTCACAGATTGCATCTTTCCTCTCCAAACCAAGTGTCAAAAGGTGGATTTTAGCATTGTCAACCAGGGTGAGGGAATGGTCAGTGGCAACATCCTAAACATATATATCCACTTAAGGAGTACATTTGACTTTAGGATGTTAATCCTGCTGCACCTCTAGACTAGAAACCTCTAGTCTGTGCCATTCTTTAAGATTTTTCTTTTAGAAGATCATTAAAATTTACATACATTAATCTGTTTCAATTCTTACATATCTTAATCCCTAAATAGGTAAATATCTTATAAATATCTATGTAGGTGGTTCCCTAACCATATTGTTTTGTCTGAGTCTTGTGGCTAGTACTTCCATGGTTAATATGTACAAAAGGGGGGAAATAAAGGACAATCCTGTGTCGTTCCATTACTTTTAGTTTAAACCATTTTGCACATGTGTTGGGGTCGTTGGTACTTTTATACAATGATAAAATTGTGCCTAAAATCCAGCCAGACAGCCCAAATGCTTGAAGAGTATTTTCCTTTAATTCTCATCTGACCCTGGCAAATGCCTTTTCGGCATCGATAGACAGGATCTGCATGGGATTCCTGTTTTTATATAAAAGATCTATTACATCAACAAGTCTTCTTAAATTATTACTGACCAGTCTGTCAGAGACAAAGCCTATCCGATCGGGGTGAACTATAGTATTCCGTATAACTTTCAATCTCTGTGCAATAATAGAAGAAAATAGCTTGGTGTATACATTTATAAGAGATATTGGGTGATAATTTTTACATTTGTTGGATTTTTCTTCCAGTTTAAAGTATTTTCTTATTTTTGGGTTTTTTTTGTAAACGTGTATTTAAAACAAAACAAAAAAATTAATTTATTTTAAAGATAATCTAAAAATAAATAAATTAAGCCATAAAATTGAAGTGTGTGTGTGTATATATACTTAGAGAGATTGCCTCTAAGAAGCACTGGCTTCTTATAGAGGCAGAGGCAATCTCTCTAAGTATATACACCCTTTAATTTTATGGCTTAATGGTTGAAGTGATATAGAGTGTATATACATGACTCTATTATTACACACTGTGTGAGAAATAGTGGTGCATTATCGGAGAACTATTTATTTTAAAACAATCTATACTATCTGCCATTTTTCAAAAATATATTCTATGTACAAAGATTGCATTCTACTAAAGGATTAACAGATTATGGTTGTGTGTATATGTGTATATATTACATTACTGCTCCACTATTAGATTTAAACTAAATGTATTATCTGTTCTGATTAGTTGATCTGCAAGCTATTCAGTCATTACATTTTATGACTTATTTGTGTGATAGTGCAAATGCATTTATTTATTTTTTGTGCAAAATGTTTCCGTTCTTTATTGGTAAATTTGGAATACTTGCAAATAGATTAATAAACATGTCCAAGTCTAAACAGTGTATATTGGTTGCACTAAAACCCATGGTTAAAGATAGATGTACTTCACTTGTTAATATTTAAAAATTTTAAAAATAAATAAGATCTGCTTCTCCTTTCCATATACATAAGATGTCAATGTAACAAAAATATGTATTACTGGGTATTGCTTCTAGTTAAGCTCGGGGCAAATAGTGTATCCAAAGGCAGTCATGAACATATTGGCATAGCTCAGAGCAAACTCCCCCTTTCCCCCCCCACTCCCCCCCCATATATTTTTGTTTGGAGGTAAAAATAATCCTCATGATAATCCTCATTTGCTATATGTTCGCTTGGTAATTAAAGTATTTCCAAACTAGACTATACAAGTTTTTTTGGACTACAAAAAATGACTTTTTTTTTTTTTAATGGTTTTGTTCTTCTTCCATGCCCTGCTGATCTTGCTGCAGCTGACTGTACCTTCATAGCGCATCAATCAATCTTGACGTTCTAAGTCAAACAAATGCTTTCCTCACACAGTGAATCAGTGCATCTCTGTGGGTTACATTAAGTGTCTCCATGTAGAGCCTGGAAATTATAAACCCCAATGCTGCACACTATGCACCACCACTCTGAGTGACTGCAATTAGAGGTGTTACTTTGCAGCAATGAAAGCATTGTGTTTTCTCTGAAAAGGTAGTGTTTACAATGCTAAAGCTGCAGGACATGCTATAGACACCAGAACCACTACACTAAGCTTCAGCAGTATTATTTTGGCACACTTTTTACAATGTATGTATTGCCCGTAGTAACGTCAGATCTAATGATTAGATGAGATTTGTTATTGTAGTGGGGGGGATAGGTGCTATAGTAGGGCTCTACATTCATTCATACCAAAACACTAAATTATATAACCTCTCTGACCTTAACGAATTAGCGGAGTACTACACTAAACTTTATAACGTAAAAGATGACCCCTTGATATCCCAACCTACCCATGACTCCATCAGCCACTTCCTAGATAATATAGACATCTCACAAATAACACAGCAACAGTGTGACACACTAGATGACCCATTTACGGAAGAGGAGGTTCGACAAGCCATCCTCTTCTTGCCCTAGGCAGGTGGGCCAGACACTTCATGAACCTAACAAACTGGGCAACATCTAGCAGGCAGGGGGAACAGTTCTGGCGCTCAATGCTGAAAAGGAGTTTGATCACCTGAACTGGGATTACTTGCAAGCTACTCTGACCAAAATGGGATTCGCCTCTTTCCTAAAGGGAATGATGGCCATCTTCCAAGCTCCCTTGGCCAAAGTGTTTAAGGTTTTTTTTTTAATCCAACACCTTCTATATTAGCACTGGCACCCAGCAGGGTTCCCTGATTTCACCACTCATTTTCATTTTATGCTTGGATCCCTTAGTGGGCCACATTAAACAGCATGCTCAGATTACAGGTCTTAACATCCCAGCAGACCCACAAGATAGCTCTATTCGCGGACGATTTGCTGATGTTCCTTACACAACCAGAGGCATCGATCCTGGCTCTAATAATTATACTAGTTAAATATGGGACAGTATCCTACTATTAAAAACAATAGTTAAAAAAAAAAAACACAGGCGCTGCCTCCCTTCAAATACAACTCAAACACTGCAATCACTTCACCCCTTCGATTGGAGGAAAACATCCTTGAAATACTTGGGCATTAATTTGACAAAGACAAACGCACAACTCACTAAAGAGAATCATATACCGCTTACTCACAAACTCCAGACAATGCTAGACAAATGGCAGGGCTTGGATATCTTGTGGTTGGGTCATATCCATACTGTCAAAAGATTTACCCCACATATTGTATCTGTTCCGAACTATTCCTGTACTGTTACCAGACAGGCTTACAAAGAAATTCCAGTCCCTTTTTAATGCGTATATCTGGGAAAAAAAACACAAAATAGTTAGGTGTCTTACATGGCTACCAATGAACAAAGGTGGCCTCGGAGTTTCTAATGTCAAAACGTATTATAAAGCCTCAGTCAGTGCTGGCACAGGGTGTGGAGGTCTTATCCTGTCCCAAACCACCGATATGGCTCTCCTTGGAGAATGCCTGTATATTCCCTAACCTTAGATCTGCTGTGATCAATAAACTCTGTAGTACCACATTCCTATTGCGTAGTTGGGAGAGATGGGCTCGGAAACTGATGGGACCAGAACATCTCTATTTCGCACCTATAACGGTACTCAACACTCTCTAGCCCAGGATATCCCATTGGGGCCATGGATTCACAGAGGGATATCTGCAATTAGTAACTTATACACAGCAACTGGCCTCAAACAGTTTCCAGATATACAGAGAGTTCTCACTCCCATGTAGGGAGTTATTTACGTATCTTAGAATTAAGCACCTTACACACTCTGCCAATATACATTATTGCAAAGAATACAATTTGAACAACAAATAACTAGCATTCTCAGTGTGTGTGTGTATGTATGTATGTATGTATGTATATATATATATATATATATATTTAATTAATTTTTTTTTTTTTTTATGCGATTTTCTCTTGTTACAATATTGAGTTACCAATGCAAAGACCACAAATGTGACAGCTGCTTTAGAATATTTGGCAAAGGCTCCTGAAGGCAACATGTACTTAATGTGCAGCAGAATGGGGAAAAGCAATTGGGGAGCTACTTTACTGAAGCACTCTTCCGTGGCTATTGCCATATTATTTGCCTACTGGCACTTCATCCACCCAGAACCATAATCACCATTATGCTCTCCCCATGCAAGAGTCTACAACACAGATATGTAAAAGTTCTCCTGGAATGCGGTGTTAATAAAATCTCATAATGTGCTAGCTCTTTCTACAGGTGTCACTTGCAGCAGCTGTTGAGAAATGACAAAAGTTGACGGCTTAAAAGGTCTGCCATGTGTTGAAGTCTGCTTTGCCCAAAATACAAAGTAGCATGTGTTCTAGGTAGCTTAATATCTGTTTTTCTTAAATTCAGTGAAGCCTGAGCTGCTTCTCATGATTTTGAGAGATATAAACTCAACTAGGTACATAACCATTTTCTCTTTAAGATTATAGCATTGTTTGACTATAAAAAGTGTATGGAACATGAAAGATTGTTTAAAAAATACTCTACCATATAGCAGGATACAGTAAGTAAAACCTATTTTATATCAAACTAGACTATTTGACTTCTGCTGCCTAACCTAGGTTTAAATTGTAAGCAGCACAATAGCTTAGGCCCACAATTTGTGCATTTTTTTTGGAGAGTTGACTTATCTGGTGAATGCAGGCCTATTACACCTCCTAATTTTTAGTGATATAAATGCCTGCACATGTACTTTTAGTCAGAGTTAGTACATCATTTTTAGACATTGACTCCAGTAAGCAATAATTACTACTGGCAAAAAGTACTTCTAAGTAAGTTTGTTTAAAATACTAACATTGATTTTTTCTCTCTCTCTCTCTCTCTTTCTCTTTCTTTCTCTTTCTCTTTCAAATAGTTTCTTAAACTTGGAGTAGAATGAGATTTATTCTTTTAAGAAATAAAATGTGTCAAAAGAATGCAAAAAATAACTACGATACTAAGAAACTCTGTGCACACAAATTTAAATTATTCAAAAATTAAACGTGTCATGGCACCAAATATTCTCATATTGTTATGATGTGAGTATGCAGGCTTCCTTTATGTTTACTTTATATTCTCTAAAACCGTTTTCTTCTAGTGCAGCTGCTTTGTCTAAAACAGTCTGTCCTTTGTCACTTCTTTACAAGTCATACTTTAGTAAATAAACCCCAAGAGTGAAGGGGGAGTGTAAGGAAGCTGTGGTTTTTATCCTTGTGTGGAGTCCAATGGAGCAGATATAAAAGAAAACAGAATGGGACAGAAATACAAATATAGTTCAGTATATTTGAAAAGGGTGAGATAAAATGTGAAGTAAAATATTGCACTCACACTTTTCTGGAGCTTATAGTTTATGGTCCTGGTCCCCTTAGGTTTCGTGTCTTTAAGCAAATAACCCAAGTGATGTATCCAGGGTGATGCTCCAGTGATGTGTGGAGAATATAAAAGAACAAAAATAGTGCTCTGTTTGAATAAAATCAAATAAAATGAAAAAGGAGCTACAATGGATGAGCAGATAGAAATTGCTGTCAAACTTTTTGAAGCCATAGTTTCTGAAGTCTTTTATTGGTATGTCTATCTTTAACTGCCCTGCTGTTTGTACACATCTTTTAAGACCTCAACTGACCTAACACTTGATCCCAAGCTACCTCTGTAAAAGTAGTCTTTACTATCAGTTAAATGCTATGCAAAATCAAAGATCTGTCCCGAACCTATAGTGGGAGCATCCAGCGTAGGTTCTTTGCTGTACACTAGTAACCGTTGGTCTATATTGGCTTGCCTAATATACTAGAAATAGGTCTAGAAGCACTATATGCAATTGAATTTCATGAATAAATGAAACTAAAAGTAGAGCTGCTGGTTACTTAATGGGGAAACACACTACCTATTTTATTTATTTATATATATATATATATATTCAAATAAATTAATTAATTTCAAATGCTGTCCGCGGTATAGGAATGAAAAACAAAACACTAGTCATGTTAAAGTCCTTCAAAAGTTGCAATCCCACATCCTTTAAATTATATTTCCCACTGGTGTGGAGCACATGAAAACTTCTCCAGAATCTAAGACAAGTGCAGGAGTAGATAACAAATGCGCTTATTCTCGATAGCCTTTCTCAATGACTTGCTAACATATCCGTGCATTTAAAGCCAATTTCACTGATTAATTGATAATAAAATACTTTTAACAGGTAAAAAGAAAGTTTGCGTATACGTATGAAAAAGAAAGTTAACCAATATGTGTTTAAGATAAAACCTGTTTTAGAGTTTTTTCCAAATAAAAATCATAGTTTTAGTTTTGCTGTTCAATTGAGCTTAATGGATAAGTGGAAAATATGTACAGGTGGTCCTCATTTAGCGACCTGTTTTACGATGACTCACACTTACAGCCAGGTGGGAATTCCTTGCTCTGGTGCGCATGTCTATGTTCAGGAAATCCCTTTAATTTGTTTGGGGAAATGTCCGCACTAACGCACCAGAGCAGGGAATCCCTTAACTCCTCACTTACCGACCAATTCATTCTACGACCAGGTCGTAGGGACGGAACCTGGTCGGTAAGTGAGGAGTGTCTGTATATGAAGAAAAAAGAAGTGTGTGTGTGTGTATATATATTGATACATTGTTAAACATGTCAGTTTAGACGTGATACATAACAAGCAAAATAAAATTGAACTGAAACCTGGATAGTTGATACTAGGTAAATATATTTACATGTGCTGGAAATAAAACATAGCAGCCAGTCGAAGTCCTATTGGAACATGGGAGTAAATGTATCTGTACTCATAACTTAGAGAGGAGAAGAGTGTTTTAAAAAAAAAGTAAAAGATAATGTGTTAAAAGCAAATATTACATATAAATTAATATATAAAAATGAAAACAAAAATTATAAATTTAATGCAAGTGAACCTGAATAAGAATTATTAGGGGGGGGGATGTAAAAATAGAAATCCGAAAAAGTTGCATATCTCGAAAGCTATATTCAGTCCTTTTGGTTGAATAATAGCATAAAATGAGTTTAATCTACTCTTGTGATAAATTGCGGAGGTGATCATCTCCTCTCAAATTAACATCTATAAACAAAGAGTGAAGTATCTCATCCATGAAACTTGGCAAAATGTTTTATAAATGTTTGTTTCTAATATGTTCTATCTTGACACTGAGTGGGCTGCAGATTCTTCCCACGTATCCCAAATTACAAGGACATTTTAGGTAATGGATAATATTTTTACATTGATATTCTCCTTGATTTTAAGTGGTCTTCCTATTTGACTGAAATAGTTTGTATGTTGTCTTGTGTAGATTTACTTGTCTTGGAAAACCATACATTCCTGTATTTAATATTGATCAGATGCTATGCAAATATTTTAGCCCAAACATAAAATGGGAGCATCCAGCCTAGGTCCTCTGCTCTACGCTAGTAAAACTGTTTGTCTGTATTGGTTATGCCGCCTGTCAGAGGATGTACATTTACAATATGTGGTTTTATGTGCCGCATGAACTAAAAAAAAAACAAGTTTTGTACAATAGGCTTACCAGCTTGCCCAGCCTTTTTAAGGTAGGTGCTATAAATCGATGCTGTTGTCGCAAGACTGGATAGATTTGAGGCACACTGTTCTTCACTTAAAATGGCTGAAGATACATTTCTAATTATTCTAAATCCAGCTTTCAGATGCAAAAAAGTTCCATAATTTGAACCTTTGTTCGTGATTTTTAAAATTATTTATCCTGGGTGAAAATAACAAAGCTTTTTACTTTAAAAAAAAAAAAGTAGTTATTTTTTTATTTTTTATTATATAGCTAGATCTCTATCTGTGTTATATTAGCCCTACTTACCAATTTCATCTAAAACTCAAATATCCTTATTACCAGACATTTGCAAAAATATAATGATTACAGGTTCCTAGACTAGAATAACTTTGCATTTCAAAAGGAGGCCAGAAAGTTTATAGGCTGAAAACATTGCCCCATCTTGAATGTTGACCATTCAACTTTAAAATAAAGATGCTCTTGATTTCAGACAATTAGTCTATGATCTAACCCAGGAGTAGACAAGCTTCCACACTCCAGACGTGGACTAAATCTCACATTATGCTTTTAGAGCCATAAAGCTGGCAAAGCTTTAGGGGAGATTTAGTCCACCATATCTAGGGTGCTGAAGGTTGTGTACCCCGGGTCGAACACATCCTAACGCACTTTTATTTTGTACCGTGTTTCTCTGAAAATAAGACCGGGTCTTATATTATTTTTAGTCACAAAAAACACACTAGGGCTTATTTTCAGGGTAGGGCTTAGTCAGTCTGTCAGCCGGTGTCTGCGCTATGTAACCCCCCCAGAGACCCTTACCTCCCTCCCTCCCTCCCAACCCTGTAATATTCTCCCTCCCAACCCTGTAATACTCTCCCCCCTCCCTCCCTGTAATATCCTCCCACCCACCTCCCTGTAATATTCTCCTACCTCCCTCCCTGTAATATTCTCCTCCCTCCCTCCTTCCCTCCCTGTAATATTCTCCCCCCTCCCTCCCTTCCTGTAATACTCTCCCCCTCCCTGTAATATTTCCCTCCCTCCCTCCCTGTAATATTCTCCCCCCAATCTTCTCCTCACCTGCTCTTCCCTGTAGCGTGGCCGAGCTCCTCTCCAGGTCTGCGACCCGGCCGGACTGACAGGAAGTGCACACCCAGCACACCCAGTGTGCACTTCCTGTCAGTCCGGCCAGGTCTCGGACCGGAGAGGAGCTCGGCCATGCTACAGGGAAGGGGAGGTGAGGCCGTGCGGCTGCCGTCTGAGCGCTCTCTATAGAGCGCTCAATCGGCTGTGGCATTTAAAGTCTTATTTTTGGGGTAGGGCTTATATTGCAGCCCACCCCGATAATCCAGCTAGGGCTTATTTTCGGGGTAGGGTGTTTTTTCAGGAAAACACGGTAATAATCACCACTCATCAATTTGTGAAAACATCCATAGTTTTTAGATTGCCGGCCCATGCAGGGCTGGTGCTATCCAAGCACCAGCCCTGCTGTTTGCCATCACGGACCGGAGGGGAGATCAGTGATCTCCCTCCCCGGCCCACACGGGCAGATTGCTGGGCGGCTGGCAGGGATGTGAGAGAGAGAACCTGGGGGAGCTTTTACCTGCAGCTCCGCTTGGTTCTCTTCTCGCGATCACGGAGCGTTGCCGCAGTTACCATAGCAACACTCCGTTCTCGCAAGTGAACTCTAGCCTGAGCTCCAGGTTAGAGTTCACTCCCCCACTAGAACCACCAGGGAATGGAAAGAAAGCAATGTCTCCCCCTCCCTCAGCAAAGGTAAGAAGGGGGGGGGACATTAACTATATCTATTTAATAATTTAAAAATAAAATATATCTTTAATCTGCCCCCCCCTACACATACGACCCCCCTACACACTGCTCCACACACAGCCCCCCCTTCCACACACACACACAGCCCCCATCCCCTCACAAACTATAACCCCCTACACACTGCACCACACACAAATATACGCCCCCTTCACACACACTGCCTCCCCTTACACACACATAGCCCCCAATACACACACTGCCCCCTTATACACACACTCCCCATTACAGTGATATTGCCTAACACAGACAAGCTTACAGGTACACACAAACTTGGTACAGACAAAACTCTGACACACAAGCTTACTACAGACAAACTCACTGGGATACATGCTCATTGACACGTGCACACATGCTTACTACAGACATGCTCATTGACACGCGCACACATGCTTACTACAGACATGCTCACTGACACGCGCACACATGCTCATTGACATGCTCACTGACGCGCACACATGCTCATTGACATGCTCACTGACACGCGCACACATGCTTACTAAAGACATGCTCACTGACACGCGCACACATGCATACTACAGACATACATGCCAGTTCGGCCTTGCTATCAGATATATAATCCTGTTTATGAACAGATTTCCAGATGATGGTTTGTATTGGCCCTAAGTATATTTGTATAATGCTATCACATCCCCTCTGAGGTGCATTTTTCTAAACTAAAGAGGTTTAAACGTGTTAATCTTTATTCATAACTAAAATGTTCCATTCAGATTATTCATTTTGTAGCCCACCTCTGCACTTTTTCTAGAGCCATAATATCCTTCTTTAAAACAGGTGCCCAAAATTGCACCGCATATTTAAGATGTGGTCTTATTTATTTATAAGAAGGCAATATGAGATTTTCATCCTGTGATTTAATGTCCTTATTTATACATGACAATACTTTACTGGCCTCTAGCAAGTGCAGATTGACAATGCACATTGTTGCCTAATTTGTCTATAACAATTCCCAATTCTTCTTGTGTGTTGTCCTTAATTCACTACTAATGTTAGGGTGAACGTTGCTTGTGCATTCTTTACCCTGAAATGCATAACTTTGCATCCATCTACATTAAATGTCCTCTGTAATTTGAATGCCCAGTCATTATAATTAACTTGTATCCGGTAAGTCCTGGCTCTTCAAACTTTCAGAGCCTCAAGCTTTAGAAAGGACAGCCGCAAAGATCTCTCAAGTTCTAGATTCCTTTCGGTTCCACTTGCAACAAACCTAGCAATGCTTCTGTTTCTTCAACAAAGCTGTGTTGCTTTTTTCAAAGTATTTTAATTGGAAATTTGAAAAAATATAGTGTGGGTTTAATATCCTTGCAATGTATAATGACACCATCACATTTTATTTGGGGGTGGGGGTTGTGCACAGTTGCCATTTAATGAAATTTTTAGTTGTAAAATAACCAAACTTATTCTTAGAGGGACACAGCTCGCTATCCTACAAGACCTAAACAAGTTGCACATTCACAGTATTCATTAAATGGGAGATCTAGTTTGTGTTAATACAGCTTTTAAAATGTTATGGCATAATTTAACACCAATTGTCAAAAATGATTCTTTATTACACTTTTAAAAATACAAATGACTTACTGTTGTATTGTCATTTGGGATCCTGTAAGTCCTCTTTAACAGAGGACATTCAAACCAATGTAGGCATCATTATGTGATAAATGACAGTTGCTCTTTCAACATAGAATATATCTATAGCACACTAAATATATAGCACACTGCTAGCTTCTGTTCCTCCAAATGCCAATTAAAATTAAATGACATAAAATACACATCAGTTGCTTTTGTAGGAATTGTGCTGGTGACCAGGCCCGGACTGGCCATCGGGCATACCGGGCAAATGCCCGGTGGGCCGCGGTGGCCGTGGGGCCGAGGCCGGCAGGGGAGGTCCCAGGATCTCCCCTGCCGGTCTATGCAGGGCCGGCACTATCCGAGCGCCGGCCCCGCTGTTTTCCATGAAGGGCCGGTGAGGGAAATCAAAGATCTCCCTCACCGGCCCACATGCTGTATAATGCGGCCGCGGGCAGGGGGAGAGGGAGGGAGACAGCCGCTAGGAGAGAGGACCCGGCGGAGCTCTAAATTAGAACTCCGCCGGGTTCCTCTCGCGAGATCCGGCGCGTTGCCATGGCAACGACCGGATCTCACCACAAGGACCACCAGGGAACCCCCCCTCCCAGTCCCAGGGATCAGTGTGCCGGTCCCCCCCTCCCAGGCTAAAGGTAAGAAGGGAGGGGGGGACATAATGCCTACTTTATTTATTTAACCCCCCTCCCCCCTACACACACAATCCATTCTAACATTTATACAGCACTCTTACACCCATCACTCTCACACACAGCACTTTCTCACACACAGCACTTTCTCACACACAGCACTTTCTCACACACAGCACTTTCTCACACACAGCACTCTCACACCCAGCACTCTCACACCCAGCACTCTCACACCCAGCACTCTCACACCCAGCACTCTCACACCCAGCACTCACTCTCACACACAGCACTCACTCTCACACACAGCACTCACTCTCACACCCAGCACTCTCACTCACACCCAGCACTCTCACTCACACCCAGCACTCTCACACCCAGCACTCTCACACCCAGCACTCTCACACACAGCACTCTCACACACAGCACTCTCACACACAGCACTCTCACACACAGCACTCTTTCACACAGCACTCTTTCACACAGCACTCTCTCACAGTACTCACACACAGCACTCTCTCACACACACAGCACTCTCACACACAGCAGTCTCTCACAGCACTCACGCACTCTCACACACATAGCACTCTCACACAGCACTCTCACTCACGGCACTCTCACTCACGGCACTCTCACACACATCATACACAGCACTCTCACACTCATCAGACACACACACATCACACAGAGCACTCTCACACACCGCACCCCTCAGACACACATACTGCACCCCTCACATACACACAGAACCCCCTCAACACACTGCACCACACACATACACAATACTTCCAAATATATATTTTTATATATATATATATACACACACACTACACTCTTAACATACACACTCTGGATCCCCTATACACACACTAGATTCCTTGTAAGCAAACACATACTACACCCCTAAACATACACTACATCACCTATATACACACACACACACACTATAGCCTGTATGCACACACTTGCTATATCCCCAATACACACATTCTCTACAGCCCCTAGCCACATATGCATCACATTACACCACAAACACAACATGACTAAAACCAACCTTATTACACAATACCGCACCACAATCAGCTCACTCTACACACACGCAATACCACAAGCAGGCTCCAAACACATGCACAATACTCTTTCCTGGCATTTTTGTTTCCTGGTATCTTTATAGAGAAACCAGAGACAATTTGCAAGGAAACACAGTGCAAGCATGTTATTAAATTTGCTTGCACTGTGCAGAACAAATACAGGGCTTTTTTTATCATGCTAGAGCTCTTCAGCAGAGCTCTGCGCATGGTCTGCCCTGGAAGAGCATTGAACCAACATGCTCACTTTGAGAGGGGGCGTGTTTGTCATTGGTGATGACAAAACACACCTCCTCTGCCCCCGCCCCCTTCTTAGTGGGCCGCTGTGTTAAAAAAATGCCCGGGCCGAATTTTTCTCCCAGTCCGGCCCTGCTGGTGACAATTGTATGCAATACATAATCGGGTAATTAATTTAAGCATGTTAAATATAAATGGGTTTTGAACCGATGTTTATATTCCTTTAGTTATAAATTTCAATTTGTGCTACAATATCCTATGGTTTAAATTTTTATTTAAGGTTACCTCTGTATATTTGGGTTTGTTAAATTTAGATGTGTGGATTAAAATGTACAAATGTTTATTATAAAGTAATTTACACTGTAAATCGGACGTTTTATTAAAAATGGGGTGGTTGATTTTATTTAGACTAAAAAGCGGCTCTAACTACTTTTTTTTAATTTATTTTTTTAAAGGAACAGGATAGTATTAGGAATACAGCTATGTATTCCTAATGTTATAATAATGTATTACCTATTTGGATCAAAAGTACTTTAAATCCCTCGCTGTGCTGGTCTTGCCAGAGCTGCCCCAATTCTCTGGCTGAGATCATGAAGATCAATGATCTCAGCCAATCCAGTGCTTCCCTATAGAAAGCCATTTGGAGGCTAGTGTGCATGAACATCAAAACTCTGTGCTGTGCCAATCAAAAGCTGCCAATTATTTGATCTTTGAATTTGATCTATAACAGAGTTGAACTCTGTTGTAGAAGTGGAAGCACCTTTTGTAGTGGTCAGGAAGACTGCCAATTGAGGTGTGTTAACTCTCATAAACGGCAATATTCTCAAGTGGTCTGGGTGCCCTCAGTGTTTTAACATTCATGCCACTGATTAGAAATGCAATCTGTTTTCTGAATAGAAAATACAGCTGTTATATTAAGGTCATGCCTTTAAACTTTGACATATCATACCGTATCCTTAGATAAGTGTTAAAATTAGGCCTGTTACAGTGGAAATGGTTTAGAACTGATTTTGGCTTTGCAGTAACTTTGCCTGGTAAAGGATCATGTGATTTGTGGCGAATACCTTGAGGTTTATTATTTAAATGGTTCTTTCATACCACTAAAAAGAAAATACTAATATATTTCTCTCATTTCCATTAGTGGGAACACATAATTAATAAAACTGCACTGTCACTTCTCTGATTATGACCGTTCCACATTCCATCACCTAGTAAAACGTACCTCCTCTGCCTCTGAATCCCATTAAATGGTTCTCTCCATAAACCATAGCACTAGTGTGGATGGTGTGATCACCCAGTGTTTCTCGGGAATCTGCCATATTGACCTCTGCTATTCCTTCCATATTGCTATGCTTGTGCAGTTTACATGTCAATTTGATAAAATGGCTAACTCAACCTTACCACTTGATTGATGTAACCAATAGACTAGGCTGCTTATATTTTCTTTTATATATTTTTTTTTGGGTTCAATTATGTTTGGGGTTTGTTTACACACTCCCTGATGGACCGTTCCTTATTGAAGAATTAGAATATGTAACATGTCTAGAAACTGTACTGCAAGCATGTATGAGATGCAGGCAACTTGGAAAGTACCCTCAATTATTTAAAGTATCTTAAGAGTACAAACTACAGAGGTAAAAATCATAGGATGTCATACAAGAACATAAATACTGTACATACAAGTTATAAAGCCATATCTTTACTAATGACAGGTTTGTGTAAAAGTGATGTAAATCAAAGCAATAAACAAAATGTGCAATTTTTGAAGACTATACAGTGTTTAGATGTTACAGGGACATAGTTAATTGCAGAAAGGTATTTTTGCACGTTAATCAGTGTTTATTTTCATTTATAGTAAGTTTATCGCTAATGCTTGTGTTTCTCTGCCCAAAACAAAATGCTTTGCAACATCTTTATATGCAGCGTAATACAATGTAACAAACATTTATAGGTGTTTAGCTTGGCTCTTCCAACTTGTGATGTTGGCAAAGGGGTTTAACTAGTAACTTTCTTGAGAGGGATTGCCGGGTATATGCCAAATACCAGTGTTGGAAACAGTCTTGTTTTGTGTTGCATTTATAGATCCTTAAACAGTCCTTTAAGTGTAGCAATAGAATACAAATCTGACCATAAAATCATACATATATTCCGAGATTACATTGACTTGTTTCCATTCTGCTATAATTAAGAGGCGATCTAAGGAGTTCTAAGCTCTAAAAATGTAAGAATCTACCATGCTACCACTTCTTGGAATTTCTTGCCCCCATCAGGGTTATATCCTCTGTTAGGCAGCACTAAACAGTTCAGTGATGGATAAATCTGTTTGCTGGTAACCTGTTGTAATTGGGGGAGATTTCCCCACCTTCTCGTACCTTCAAGTGCTCATGGTGAAAATGTCTGGAGTGGCATCAAATGTTACCAAAATAACCAGTCTGTTTCCAAAAGTGCTGTGAAAAATTGTGGACTGACAATTCCACTTTGTAACGGTGTGTAACATTTTGCAAGCTATACAGGTGCAAAAACTATTCCCTCTAACCTTTATTTTAATGACATTGGAACACTTAGTGTATTAATTGGTGACTGCAAAATGGAATTCTAAATAAAGATACATTTAGTTCAACTTGTTAAATAACTGGGTTTAAAAAAAAAAATAATTTTTTTTTAAATCTTATACATATTTTTTTTATAGGGTTTCCATACTTGCAGTGAAAAATCGTTTTTTTGTTTTTGTTTTTTTACAGACTTAAGAGTATTTTGTAAACCATTTCTAGAAATTATCAAACATAATAAGACTAAAATAGCCAAGTACTTTTTACAATGCTTTTAAATTCAGATTCTAAGGGGATGTCAGACTTTTTAATTTAAGTTTATGTTCAGGTCAAAACTTTGCCATTATGTGTTGGTGATTAAAGTTATGTTGAACCCCATCAGCTCTGTAAACCTGGATATTATGGCTGTCTGTTTGCCAGTCAAACCATGGCTCAATGCCTGCAGCTTTGGCAAAACATGCTGTCCATTTGCAATATACACAATATTTAGTGAATGTCTCTTGCAATATTTATCACGAAGATGTCTAAATTATTTTATTTTAAGTAATTGATCTTAAAAATATAACCCAAACATTCATAGGTGGAAGAAAATCCTTTATTTTGTGGTTTTTAAGAGTTGAAACCTGTATTTACACTATTTATGGTATATCTTAAATGTCAACATATGTTGCCCTGATCTACGTCTTTAAAACCTGTTGGTATTAAATAGTAATGTTCTCTGTTCCAAACTCGATTCTTGCACGTAAATATTTAAAGTTAAAAAGTGCTACTAGGCATACAGGATGGCATAAATGGTCTGTCAATGTGTGTAGTCTTATGAACGGCTTGAAGATTCAAAATTATATCTTGAGATGAATTAGAGGTTAAACATATTATGTTATGGACTATGCCTTGGCGCACAGTTTATATGAAGACAACTTGCATTAGGGAATGCCACTCATCTGATAAAACATCTGCACATTCTAAAACTGGTCAAATTTGGCTAACAAGTTGAAAACAATGCAGTGTATTAATCTTAGTAAAATGTAATATTGTACAAGGTGGAACACATGATGTAATGCAAATATGTATATATTGAGGCTCAACTCGGTGTCCCGAGGCATTTTAGGGAATATAAGAGAAATTAGAAATGCTTATGGTTTGGTCTTGTCCTTCACGTAAGCTCAAAATGTCAAAGAAAAAGCTGTAAAGGTTTTCAAACAGGTATGCATGGAATTAAGAGACATGCAATAGTCTGAGATCTGGGTCTGCTGAGATGTCATTAAGCAAAAGTGTTTCCAGTACTCTACCTTGATATTACAATCTTGCACATGATATCTGAAGTCTTACTAAAGCATCCTCCAAAACAGACTCCAATGCTTAATGTGAAGGGAAGCTAACGGAGAAATATTAACTGCATGATAAATTCACTCAAGACTTTGAAATAACATTTTTCATTATTACCTTGGCTGTATTAGTACACATTACTCACCTACCTGAAAGTACATGTAAATGTACTGAATTTCAGGTCCGTGTGTATAGATTGCTAAATAAGGAGGTCAACTTTTTAAATGGGTTACTAAAAAGAACACTGTTTATAAAAACCTTTTTTTAATTACACTTGGGATATAGGGCCATGTGCAGCAATTGCTGTGGTATGACACTGAAAATACTTCTCGTGGAAAATGACATGGTAATAAATTATGTACAATGAAAACAATGGGTCAATTAATCAAAAAATAGGAGACCCCTAAGAAGCCATTCCAGTTTGGTATATCTGAAAGTAATTTAGAAAAAAATTAAATAAAAAAAGTAGTTGTGTGATTAATGCTAGGCTAATTGTGATGGAATAAACACCATAATTTTATGCAAATGGGAATCTGTACAATATCGATCACCACTTTTTTTAAATTTATTTTTTTGTTAAACCTGGAAATTGGAATTGGTGTTTTATGTCTTGGGTCCAAAGAATTCCTTGAAATATACAATTTAATACTTATGCAATTATAAACTGCATTTATTTTGTTCAAGACTTAGTATGTCCAATCACAATAACATTAACCTGTCTAATTGCTCTGTAAATCAAGACAACATAAATGATTATGTTCCTGAGTACTAATAGAACCACACAGTAGAAAATAAACTTTGGGAATTGCTCAAAGTATTTTTCTGATTGCGAAAGGTTCCAGAATCCTACAGCATACGTGTACCTAATGCTTGTGTATCAAGATTTTGAAAGTAAATGTGGTTATGTGCAGTTTTAGTGCGTCCTATTATGTCACATTTGATTATGCATTTTCTGGCCTTAAAGGACCACTCTAGGCACCCAGACCACTTCAGCTTAATGAAGTGGTCTGGGTGCCAGGTCCTTCTAGGGTTAACCCATTTTTTCATAATTATAGCAGTTTCAGAGAAACTGCTATAATTATGAATGGGTTAAGCCTTTCCCCTAATCCTCTAGTGGCTGTCTCATTGACAGCCACTAGAGGCGCTTGCGTTCTCACTGTGATTTTCACAGTGAGAGCACGCTAGCGTCCATAGGAAAGCATTGTAAATGCTTTCCTATGTGACCGGCTGAATGCGCCGCAGCTCTTGCCGCGCTGCGCATTCAGCCGCGGGGCGGAGGAGGCGGAGGAGGAGGAGAGCTCTCCGCCCAGCGCTGGAAAAAGGTAAGTTATTACCCCTTTCCCCCTTCCAGAGCCGGGCGGGAGGGGGACCCTGAAGGTGGGGGCACCCTGAGGGCACTATAGTGCCAGGAAAACGAGTATGTTTTCCTGACACTATAGTGGTCCTTTAAACTAACTTACAGTATCCATACCAAATCATAAAATGTTTTTAAAGCAAAGCCAGTATAAAACTGTAGCCCTGTGAAGAGCTCTTCTGTGTTTTTAGTTGATGTGTATGGTGCAATGATAAAAACGTGAATGATGCCCTCTCAATCATCTAAAGCGGTGCTCTTCAACCTTTTATGGAGAAGTATTCCTGCAGGTATAAAATACTATTACCTCAAGAAAAGCATTTCTATTGAATTCCAAATGAAACGTGTAGATACTGATATTTAAGTTAATTCCATATTGGGGAACAAGCCTGATTTAAAGATGGGTAAGAACATAATGTAACTATTGTGTATGAACTATTAATCTAAAGTATAAAAATGTCCCAAAATGACAATATAATACATGTAATGGTTACACCCATAGAACATTAAAACACACATTTACAGAGGTAACTGACTAACAGACACTCACTGACTTGACACACACTGTCACACACATTCTCAAACAAATTTTTATTTTTTAAAATTCAGTCCACTCAGCCTCCCTACCTTTTGTGAGTGGATCCTTTCTGTGGTTCCCTGAGGTCCAGTGTGGGGCACGTGTAATCTTCATGCTCTTAAATGTTCATTGTTTCCTTGCGAGCTTTTAAGTGATGCCGGGGCTGGAGTGAAATCATATCCTGGCTTCCGGCATCGCCTCAGGGCACATGAGGGAGCAATGCTGGAATATCGTGGAGTACAACTTCCTACAGCTGGCCACCTCTTGGTGCACATACCACGGTTTGAGAAACTAAGATGTAAAGCACATACTGCATTATCGAATGATTTCTGAGAGGAAAAAGTGTTGGCTTCAAACGTAAACATATAAACGTATCTCAGCAGCTTTAAACTATCCATGATTTATGGCTGTATCTTCCTGATCCAACAATGTTCTAGAACTCTAACAGTGTGTAAACCATTTGTGATGTACAGATGTTTAACAATTTTGGGTACTAATGGATATCATATAGATAAGCAAACCGGTTTAAAATGTATTATAGTAATCTGGTTAGAATACAATTTAATAGTGAATATAAACTAAAAACATTTTAAATGTTTATAGTGAACAGAGTACAAGTTGACAATTTTATCAAAAGTAAATACATTCTTAGTTTTTCACCAGTTAAGTGTTTTTATAAAAAGTTTGCCCCAAACATCTTGTTACATTTGTGCATTACTCACATGGTGCAGCTAATAGAACCAGAATATAAAGTGCTTGTCTGTGTTTTATTTAGAATAATACTAAATTATGTTAACCTTCACTCTGGTTTTGCTTGTATCCAGAGATCCTCTATATTGAGATAATCACACATTCTAATGTTCTTAACCTTGTATAGTCTTTTACATAATTATGTTAACACGACCTTGTAGGATGTTTCGATTGTGTTACTCTTCTCTCTCCAATACTACAAATTGATATCCCTTTAGAGTAACCCACTCTGCATTATGTATGAATCATGGCTACAATTTCCCTCTGCCACCTGCTTCAAGATCTAACATAGAAATTGTCCCGATATGTCTTGTACTAAGGCCCTCTATCAAACCGTCTGCACCACAGTTCTTGGCAGAGTGAAAACCACTCATAGTCTGTAACTTGGTTCTGCAATATCTAATTGGGCAGAGTTGGTGTTGGTTACAATACATTTAAAACACTCGAACATTCCATCTAATCTGTATTGTATTGTATGTGCTGTGTGGGTGTTCTGTAGAACACCCACACTTACCAAAGCCCCAATTTGATGTACTGATACCCTAGTGCAGGGGTAGGCAACCTTTTAGCAGTACTGTGCCAAAATAAGATTGTGATATCCCGTAGTGTGCCCGTCCTATTTTTTTAAATTGAGGTGTGTATGTTGCCATATTCTGCTTATTTATACTGCGGTTGCTTTGCATCGTTGTATTTGTGCTTATATGATCTGTTATATGTTCACGAGTAGTTTGTGGTACTGTGTATGATACCTGTGAATGTCGGCTGTGTATGGGGGCTGCTTGTGAAATGGAGTGTTGATGGACATGTCGCATTGTGTTTGGTGGGATGTGTGTGAAAGGCTGCTTGTTGGGTTGTGTGCATGTATATGGATTGTTAGTGGTGTTGTTTGTGCAGACTTTGTGTGTGAGCTGTTCATATTATTTGTATAAGGGGAGGGTTGTTCTGCATCTGTGTATATCTAGCAGTGTGGGTGGCTTCCTGAGTTCCAAAGGGGACCATGCTGGCCAGGTACAGGTCAAGTGCAGGAACTGTGATTGCTGCAGGCTGCTCTACTCCAGTGCAGATTCCCATTCACAAGTGCTGGGAGGAAGATCTGAGATCACTTCCTCTACGTGCTGCAACGCATAAATCAAGGCTTGTCCCTCACCACCTTTTCATATTAGCAGATATCTGAAATTTCACTGGGACTCCTGATAGGCCAGAGAGGCTTGTTTGGCTCTAGCAGCTTTGAGTACTGTGCAAAGATACTTGGAGTGCCGGGCATGGAACATGTGCTGTAGGTTGCCTCCCCTGCCCTAGTGTAATGCATAATCTTCTATTATATATATATATATATATATATTTATATATTTTTTTATTTTTTTTATTTTTTTTAAACGATTTGTTTCCATGTAAATAGCCACTTCCTAATTATGTAAACGTGGTTTACTTTCCCAATGCTCAAAGTATCCTCTGTTCTGTCACTTTACTTGCAGACTCTCCCAAGGTTGCAGCTGTGCCTTCCAGTTGCTTAACTTTCCCTCTCCCCTAAATGGCATGAAGGCGTGATTCTCTGCATTAATCATTTATAATTCCAGTTTATTTTCTCCCTCAAAGTGCTTCAAAAAAATACATTTAAAAACAAATTATCAAGTACTGTACAAATTAATTCAAATGAAATTATTTTTTTTTTTTTACAATTCTAAAAAGATCTGGTTTATTTTAAATTGCAAATGTGAAATGTAATTCTAATATTGCTAAACTGAAAAAATAACTGACTTATACTTTTTTTCCAATTGTGTGGTTTTATGTAACCGTTTTTGCCTATAATTTGGGTTTTATGTGAAATTTCCAACAATTAACACCTTAGTGAATGACCCTGATCATATGTTTCCAATTGAAAATTTTTGAGACTGACGACAAAACTGCCATTATTTCAAATAGGAAACATGTATGTTAAAATTTGCAACCAGAATAGCGATTGTGTTATTAAAATAAGATGCACATTGATTAATAATCAGACATGTAATGAAGAGACTTAAATAATTAAAGTAAAAGTGCATGCTACATACAACATCTAAACCCTTTAATCATTACAAATGTATATTTGACATTTTCAATAGGGCAGAATATAAGGCTAAATGTGAATGATCAAATATATATTGTGAAAACTAGTCTTATATTTGTGTTATGACATTTCTTTAATGTTTGGCAGCTACTGCAGAATGTAGTTCACATGTAAATAAATCAAATACAAACTTTCAAAGCTACAGTCTAGTTTACCATGTTTAATGATAAACTATAATTATAATATTGCTTCTAAAATTAAAAAAAATCACAGCTCATACAAAGCTAAAATTATCTAATTCAAGGAGTTTTATTTTTAAACCGGCTTTACCTATGTTCCCATATGAATGGACAACTATTTAAAACTACTTACAACTGCTTCTTAAAAAAACCCAAAACTATTCTTTGCAAAGAGCAAAGCGAGAAAACTACTGATTGTCTGTAACTTGGTTCTGAAATATTTTAATTGGGCAGAGTTGGAGTTGGTGTTACAACACATTCATAACACTCAAACATTCACTCTGTCTAATAACTGTTGTATTGTGTATGTATTGTGTAGAGTGACTTACCAAAGCCTAAATTTAATAGATTGATGCTCTAGTCTGATGTGTTAAATTCTATTTTTTATTTTTTTAAAGGTTCTGTTACCACAGTGTAAATAGCCACGTCCTCGGTCTGCCTAACTGATATGTAAAAGTGCTTTACTTTCCCAACGCACAAAGAGTCTTTATTTACTTGCGGACTCTCCTAAGGTTGCAGCTGTGCCTTCCAGTTGCTTATCTTTCCCTCTCCTATAAATGGCGTGATTCTCTGTATCGAACATTTACGATTCCAAATTTTTTCCTCAAGTGTTTTTATGTATTTATTTAAATCTGATACTGTCCAAATTAATTTACATGAGTGCAATATGGTATTTTTTTATTTATTTACAATTCTAAAAAAAAATCTGGATAACGTTTCAGGTTTGGCAGCTACCCCCAGAATGTGAATGTGGTTTAAACATGTAAATAAAAATGATAAAGGCAAATACAAAAATTCAAAGCCATGAATTCTTAATTATTGCAGTTTATACAATGTTAAAATATAAAACTACTGAAAAGAGATTAAACAGGGTTTACATACATTCCCACATGAATGGTCAAAAGTTGTTACAACTGCCTCAAAAACCCCCCCAAAAACTGCAGACAACTGGAAAAAAAATACATAACTACAGTTGAGTGGAATAATGGAAGTTAGTTCTTCAAAAACAAGGTTAAGCATATCTACTTGAAGGATGTATACACCTAAATCTGTGTAGAACTACTAGACCAAAGTAGTCAACCTGGTGGGCGGTTTGGGATTTTAGGTGGGTGGTGGTGGGTTCTGCAAAAAATGCCTGGTGGGCCTTGATGGCCGTGGACCAAAAACGGCTCAGGAGATAATTTCATCTCACCTGCTGGCCCATGCAGAGCCATCCTTGCTGTAAGCCCTCTCAGGCTGGTGAGGAGATCAAAGATCTCCCTCACTGGCCACTGGAACTTCGTTGCAGCAGAGGGAGTTAAGGGCTTGGGAGACTGTGTTCCTCCTGTGAACAGGCTGGTCAGAGTGTTACCATGCGTTACTTTGGAAGTGCTCCGATACAGTGCTGTGCTCGCAGGAGTACAGCAAAGTCAGCCTGCAGGCAAAAGTAAACATGCCACCACTGGACAACCAGGGCTTGCAGCATTATATGCCCCTCCCTTGTAAAAGGTAAGAAGGCAGGGGGGAGACATTAATATAGATTTTTACATCTCACCCACCTACACACAGCTTAGACCCTATGAACCCTTCACACACACTACACACTGCACCCCTCTCACACACACACTGCCCCCTCACACATACTGCACATTGCCCTTCACACACCTACTGCCCACATACACACACACACACTCTTTTAAAAACCCTCCTTTCTAAAAAGAAACAAAAAAATCGCACTTGCGCTATAAAATTAACACTGGCACTGGTGAATGGATTTACAAAAAAAGGGCTATGAATTGATAATAGTCTCTCTAAAGGTGCATCAGAAATACAAATGTTGCATTTCTAATGTTTTCCTAGATTTTGAGATTTATTGCACCCCCACCCCCAAATAAAGTTAAAGCTGTTTAATTTTTAGCCCTTTCCACATCCCACACTCCTTAGCTGGCTTCGATTGTATGTGACTATTTCAGTGTCAATTAATGTTGGTTAACCTACCTTAAATTTTCAGTACGTTTCAGTAATAGAAACATGCCAAATTAAAAAGGTGTTTTTAAAAATAAATAAATTCCATATTGACATCAAAATGTATAAGCAACCCCTTCTCTTTAATTCATACACACTGTAGGGAAAATCAGAAAGTGACAGACAACAGTCTAAAAGGGCAAATAAGTTTTTATATCCTACAAAAAAATCTAGTAAAATAAGAGACCAGATTAAAATAGAAAAATAAATTGCTGCAGATCTCTTAAATATGTCGATTTTCCACTAACTTATATTGAACTATTTACTGGGGAAGAAAAATTTTGCCAAACTAATATAGGTTTTTGTTTTCCTGAGCTGAAACTGGGACCCGCGTATCAATAAATATATTAGAACATTTTCCTCATTAGCATGTGTTCAGCAAAGAAAAAAGTTATTTAAACTGTAAGAATGACCGAGGAAGCCCTATGACCGTTGTACGCTCCTCAGTTCCTCTTGCATATGTGCATCTAGGGAAGGCTTCCCCAAACTCCGGCCCTCCAGATGTTGCTTAACTACAACTTCCATGATTCTATGAATGAAAGAGGCTGAGAATCATTGGAGTTGTAGTTAAGCAACATCTGGAGGGCCGGGGTTTTGAGAAGCCTGATCTAGGGGAACCTATGAGATCTTTTTTTTTCCTCTATTCGCTACCTTTAACATCAGATGGAAAAATGTCCAACTATAAATAAAAAAAACTAATTAAAAAAAAAAAATACAATATTTTGGTCATACCTGGTTTTCAGAGGCATGCCTAAGGAAAATAAAGTTGTCTTGGGCAAGATTTTCAAAGCCAATTATAGGCATCTTTTAATTCAACAAAACGAACAGCCTTTTGTGGCTAGTAACAAAGGATGCTACTACACTTTCCTGGTTTAACTCCTACCTTTTTTTTTCCCTTCCATTTTAGCCCAGCCATTGGTATGGAGTACAACCTGAGTAATATTTACGTAGAAGTCAATCGGATGGATGTTAAACCTATCAAAGTCCAGTGTTTGGAGAAAATATCTCTACCATGACCTACCTAGTTTAGACAGTGGTTCTCAAGGTGGTTCAGTCTTAAATGCAGACTTTACTACATTGATCTTGGTGTCCCAGTTTCCTCAGGTTTTGCTTTTGACCTGCATAAAATGAAATAAATTAAATATGGCCTTCATCTCCCCATTCAAAAAAAAAAAAAAAGCAAAAGTCACTGGTGGTTGGCACTCCCGGGCAACTGGGACAGGGTTCAAGTCCCTGTGGTGTTTTTGCTGTTTAATTCTATCTTAAATAATAACTACCGAGGGGGAACTTTCTGGCATAATATGCCAGACTAGGCTCTATGGGTGCAGGCTATCCTCTCAATTTTCAGTAAACCTGTCTTGAGGGGAAAAAAAATAAAACATTTTTTTACTTGCCTTGAATCAAACTGCTTTTTTCACATCCCCCTTAGACGTTGCCAAGGTCCAATCACAGGCTTGTTATAGAGAAGTTTGTCATTGTTCCATATCACCATCTCAGAGCGCATGTGTGCGAATCCCATTAGTGAGGAGGAGGATGGGAGTTGGTTGGGAGCACAGAGTGGGAGGATGGGTGAGAGGGGAGAGCTAGCTTCCCCCTTGCAAGTGCTTTGGCTACAAGGGGAAACATTTTCACGTCTGTCAGCGTGCAGTGCGTACTGGCAGTCGTTTTCCTGGCACTATAGAATCGCAGCACTGAAGGGGTTAAAACCCCTTCAGTCACTTACCTGAATCCAGCGCCGAAGTCCCTCGGTGCTTGGTCAGGCTCCGCCTAAGCTTCTCCCTCACAGGCTGATGGTGGGGGAGATCTAATGCGCGGCAATGGCTGCGCTGACATTGGGATTTCCCTATAGGAAAGGATTAATCAATGCTTTCCTAAGGGAATTCAGCATAGCGTGAGGATGTTCAGAGTCATTTAGATGAGCAAAAGTTGTCTAAGCACCCAGAATTCCCTTTAGCGGTTATCTGGTAGACAGCCACTAGAGGAGGAGTTAATCCTGCAAGGTTATTATTGCAGTTTCCCAGAAACTGCAATAATTACCACTGTAGGGTTAAGGGGCATGGGAAATTGCACCAAGAACAGTGTCCCTTTAAAAACAAAGACTACACATAAATGCATGTTTGCATTCAAACACACCCATACATTCACACACATACTCCACATAAAAACATGCTTATATTCAAGCACACAAACTGTTCTGTTCTAAATACAACCCTGCAAGCATGGGAAAATGGTAGGTCCACAGCTGTCAAAGCATTGTGGGAGATAAACGACAGATGGGGATCTACCCTTTGCCCACCCTTACACCAGAGCCCTTTCTACAATAGTTCCACAACTGAGAAGTGGGTCAGATGGTGACAGTTGGTGTTAGTGTGACAACAAGGAGACTAGGGTTGACAGAGAGGACTATAATTGTAAAACACACATACATTTTGGGAGAGAAAGACCGAAACTAAGAAGGAAGTTGGGGAGATCAAAAATAAATAAAACTTGGAAAAAAAACAGTAACACTTGCAGCATATAGATATACATCATTACACACATGCTGACACGGATTTCAAATGCATTCCTCATTCACATACCCTCTGACACAGCTTTCAAATACACCTCCTATTTACAGATTTTAGACCTACTCCTTATTCACATATACACACATGCTGACATATGTCCATCCACCTCTCATTCACACACACTGACAGAGGTAACTAGGTGCGAAGACTGAACGTGTCCCCCCATGTGTTTAATCCCCCGCCAGCCACTCCATGTGTCTCATCCCGCCAACCTCTGCACACACTTTCTCCCCCATTCCCTCCATGTTACCTCCACCTCAGTCCCCAATGTGTCTCCCCCACCCACCCCCTCCACATGTCTCTCCATACATTTGTGAAAGACACACACAAGCACACAGACAAACATACACACATTGTCAGACAGACTCTCACACACTCACAATTACATTTTTTAAAGGCCCACCCAGCCTCCCTACCTTTTAGAGAGCTGGTGTGGGTCCTCTCTCTGGGGTCCAGTGTGGGGCTATGCTGTAATCTGGCAGTTCCTCTTACGCGCTGTTTAGTATGCTGGGCCCCGAATGACATCATATTCAGGCTCCCAGCATCACAGAGGGTGTGCGAGAGAGGAACTGACTGACCTGCCTCCCTCGCCACTGCCAAATGGCAACTGCCTTGCAGTATATATTGGCTGAGTAGGCACCTGCCATCCAGGTAAGCAGGTGCCTACTCTTCCTCACTGGGTAGGAACCAATTGACATGTCTAATCCACCCCTCATTTATACACGCTTACACTCTACATTCACATTTACACTGCTCACACATACTCCTACAGTCACACACAGACAATTCATACAAAACTATAACTGCATTCATACGCCAATTCAGGGCCGGACTGGGGAAAAAATTCGGGCCGGGCATTTTTAATTACAGCGGCCCACTGAAAAGGGGGCGGGGCCAGATAGGGTGTGTCTTGTCATCCCCAATGACAAGCACGCCCCATCTCAAAGTGAGCATGTTGGTTCAATGCTCTTCTAGGGCATGAGAAAAGGGCCCTGTATTTGATCTGCACAGCGCAAGCAAATTTAATAACATGCTTGCATTGTGTTTGCTTGAAACATGTCTCAGGGGTTTCCATAATTGGAATACTCACTGTATCCCATTTATGGAGACACTATGTGTTTGCTTAAAGGGTATCTAGTGTGTTCATAGGGGATCCTGAGTATGTCAGAAATGTAGTGTGTGTGTAAGTGGTGTAGCATCTGTGTGTAGGGGATCTAGTGTGTGTTTGAAGGACTCAGGAGTGCGTATAAGCGATCTAGTGAGTGTGTGAGTGGTGCAGTGTGTTTGGGTGGTGCAGTGTGTGTGAGAGGTGCAGTGTGCATTTGGGAGGGTGCTGTGTGTGTGTGTTGGGGTGCTGGTGTTAGGGTGCTGTGTGAGTGCTAGGGTGCTGTGTCAATGTTAGGGTGATGTGTGTGTGTGTGTGTGTGTTGGGGTGCTGTGTGTGTGTTGTGTCAATGTTAGGGTGCTGGTGTTAGGGTGCTGTGTGTGTGTTGGGGGTGCTGTGTGTGTGTTGGGGTGCTGTGTGTTTGCAAGGATTTTGTATTGGGGGAGGCAGGTAGGTGTTTTACTAAAAAATAATAAAAACATAATAAATAATATTAATAAATACATAATAAATAATAATAAATACATTATATCCCCCCATTCATACCGGTTGCCATAGCAACGGTCCGGATCTCGCGAGAGAAACCGGCGGAGCTGCAAGTTAGAGCTCCGTCGGGTCCTCTCTCCTGGCGGCTGTCTCCCTCCCTCTCTCCCCGCCGGCGGCCGCATTTGAGCGCATGTGGGCCAGTGAGGGAGATCTTTGATCTCCCCACCGGCCCTCCAGGAAGACAGCGGGGCCGGCGCTCGGATAGCGCCGGCCCTGCATAGACCGGCAGGGGAGATCCTGGGACCTCCCCTGCCGGCCTCGGCCCATGGCCACCACGGCCCACCGGGCATTTGCCAGGTGTGCCCGATGGCCAGTCCGGGCCTGCTCCAATTTCCCATACTAATATACACTGGCATTCATACAACAGCACTCCACTGTGTGCACACACACAAGTCCTCCACAAAAATACACCACTGCATTCAACTTCAAAATAAGCAAACCCTTAAATTAACACATGAACATATACACTCCTGCTCTACTTACTCATTGAACAATGCATTTACACATTTATGCACACATCAGGGTTAGGGGGGGCTACAGAGACAGGGTTAGGTGGTTAGAGGGTTAATGTGATAGGGTATGTGGCAGACTTAAAATACATTTAATATATTTTGCTTTGCCCCCTCCTGCTTACCTTCTGTGCAGGCAGAGGAGGCAATAATTCATTTCACGGTGGTTCAGTGGGTCCCTGGTGGTCCGGTGTGTGGCTGGTTTGCTCCCTGATGGTCCAGTGTGCTGCTAGTGAACTCCCTGGTAGTCAAGTGTGCTGCTGGGGCACCTGTGCTCTGACTGCTTGGGAGTGCAGCAGCCTCAGCAGCACACTTGACCATCAGGGAGTTAACTAGTAGTACACTGGGCCACCAGGGAGTTGATTTGTAACAGCTGGCAGGGAGATCTTTTTATCTTCCTGCTGGCTCAAAGAAGGGGTCTCAACGGCCCCCCTCTCATCCCTATTTCGACATAGCTCACGGTGTCTTATAATTCAGGCTATTGGCAGATTCGGCACAGCGAGGGATCAATGGTCGGTCATGCGGCGAACCCTCTAATAGCCCAAATTAATAGGCGAATGTGGGGCTGACGCCGACACCCTTAATGTGTAGGCCCACTGCCAGCAACCATTTATTTTAGGATCGGTGATCATAAAATAAATTGTTGTGGATAGAGGGCAAACAGGGCAGCTGCTTTGGGCCCCCAGGAGTTTGCCCCGTGTTAAAGACGGACCTGGATATAACAAGGGGGACCCAATCAAGTTCAACAAACACATTGGCCCATAGGGATTTGAAAAACAAGGAGTATCATCGATGATATAGGTACACAGCCCCCAAACATAGAAATATATAGGCTCCATAAGATAGTAATCGAAATAACAAGCATACAGTTTTCTTTGAAACTATATACAATGCAGGTATCGAGTCTGGGTTGTAGGGTATAGCAGAGTCCCTATGTGACATTTTCCCCATTCCACCTCTTTCTGATTTTTTTTTTTTATCGATCATCCCTTGTCGTACCCCATAACTTGTCATCTGTTTCCGAGGTGCCTACGTATTTCAATTTGTAACAGTTCACCCTGCTGTCACCTTCCCATCACCCAGTCATCAACTCCTCTCAAAGAGGCCTAGTGTAAGGATTTATGCATGTGATTAAGTATCACTGGGAAGAAGCAAGAAAAGAAGAAAGAGGGAGTGAAGAAGAGGGAATAGAAAATATATAAATAAAAGGGAGACCAAGAAAAAGTGGGTAATGAAGGGTATGCGCCAGCTCTTGCTCCACAAGATCTAACCCCACCAGCGCCGCAACCACAGTCTCACTCCGCACAGTCTCCTCTACCTCCCAGACCGCTCAGAACCCCTTTGAGATCATCTTCAGTTCATGTAATGCAGCACTCACTGAGTGGGATCACAGACTTTCCCCATATCAGAGCATTTCCTAAGTTCCACATGAGTGCAACCCAGGGCCGGACTGGGAGAAAAATTCGGCCCGGGCATTTTTTTAACACAGCGGCCCACTAAAAAGGGGGCGGGGCAGAGGAGGTGTGTTTTGTCATCACCAATGACAAACACGCCTCCTCTCAAAGTGAGCATGTTGGTTCAATGCTCTTCCAGGGCAGACCATGCGCAGAGCTCTGCTGAAGAGCTCTAGCATGAGGAAAAAGTCCTGTATTTGTTCTGCACAGTGCAAGCAAATTTAATAACATGCTTGCACTGTGTTTCCTTGCAACTTGTCTCTGGTGTCTCTATAAATGGATACCAGGAGACAAAAGGCCAGGACGTGTTTGGAGCCTGCTTGTGGTATTGCGTGTGTGTAGAGTGAGCTGGTCGTGGTGTGGTATTGTGTAATAAGGTCGGTTTTAGTCGTGTTGTGTTTGTGGTGTTATGTGATGCATATGTGGCTCAGGAACCCCCTCCCGCACGGCTCTGGAAAGGGGTTAAAACTTACCTTTTTCCAGCGCCGGGCGGGGAGCTCTCCTCCTCCGATCCGCCCCGTCGGCTGAATGCGCACGCGCGGCAAGAGCTGCGCGCGCATTCAGCCGGTCGCATAGGAAAGCATTTATAATGCTTTCCTATGGACGCTTGCGTGGTCTCACTGTGATTTTCACAGTGAAAAGCACGCAAGCGCCTCTAGCGGCTGTCAATGAGACAGCTGCTAGAGGCTTTGGGGGAAGACTTAACCCATTGATAAACATAGCAGTTTCTCTGAAACTGCTATGTTTATAAAACAATGGGTTAACCCTAGAAGGACCTAGCACCAAGACCACTTCATTAAGCTGAAGTGGTCTGGGTGGCTAGAGTGGTCCTTTAAGAGTGTAGTGTGTGTGTGTGTGTGTATATATATATATATATATATATATATTTGGAAGTATTGTGTATGTGTGTGGTGCAGTGTGTTGGGGGGGTTCTGTGTGTATGTGAGGGGTGCAGTATGTGTGTGTGTGAGTGCTCTGTGAGAGTGCGCTGTGTGTGATGGTGTGAGAGTGCTGGGTGTGAGAGTGCTGTGTGTGATGGGTAAGAGAGTGCTGGGTGTGAGTGATGGGTGTGAGAGTGCTGTGTGAGAGTGATGTGTGTGATGGGTGTGAGAGTGCTGTGTGAGAGAGTGCTGTGTGTAATGTGTGTGAGAGTGCTGTGTGTGATGGGTGAGAGTGCTGTGTGTGATGGGTGAGAGTGCTGTGTGTGAGAGTGCTGTGTGTGATGTGTGAGAGTGCTGTGTGAGAGAGTGCTGTGTGTGATGGGTGTGAGAGTGCTGTGTGAGAGAGTGCTGTGTGTGATGTGTGTGAGAGTGCTGTGTGAGAGAGTGCTGTGTGTAATGTGTGTGAGAGTGCTGTGTGTGATGGGTGAGAGTGCTGTGTGTGATGGGTGAGAGTGCTGTGTGTAATGTGTGTGAGAGTGCTGTGTGAGAGTGCTGTGGGAGAGAGTGCTGTGTGAGAGAGTGCTGTGTGTGATGGGTGTGAGAGTGCTGTGTGAGAGAGTGCTGTGTGTGATGGGTGTGAGAGTGCTGTGTGAGAGAGTGCTGTGTGTGATGGGTGTGAGAGTGATGTGTGAGAGAGTGCTGTGTGTGATGGGTGTGAGTGCTGTGTGTGATGGGTGTGAGAGTGCTGTGTGTGATGGTTGTGAGAGTGCTGTGTGAGAGAGTGCTGTGTGTGATGGGTGTGAGAGAGTGCTGTGTGTGATGGGTGTGAGAGTGCTGTATAAATGTTATTGTGTGTGTGTGTAGGGGGGGTAAATAAAATAAAAATAAAAAAAAGTCATTATTTCCCCCCCTCCCTTCTTACCTTTAGCCTGGGAGGGGGGGGGACCGGCACGCTGGGACTGGGAGGGGGGGTCCGGCACGCTGGGACTGGGAGGGGGGGTCCGGCACGCGGTGTTCCCTGGTGGTCCTCGTGGGTGAGTGAACTCTAGCCTGTGAGGCTAGAGTTCACTCTCGCGAGATCCGGTCGTTGCCATGGCAACGCGCCGGATCTCGCGAGAGGAACCCGGCGGAGCTGCAAGTTAGAGCTCCGCCGGGTCCTCTCTCCAGCCTAGCTGGCTCCCTCCCTCCCTCCCCGCCGGCGGCCGGTCAGGGAGATCCTTGATCTCCCCACCGGCCCGTCGTGACAAACAGCGGGGCCGGCGCTAGGAGAGTGCCGGCCCTGCATAGACCGGCAGGGGAGATCCTGTGATCTCCCCTGCCGGCCTCGGCCCATGGCCACCGCGGCCCACCGGGCATTTGCCCGGTGTGCCCGATGGCCAGTCCGGGCCTGGTGCAACCTAACCGATCCACCCAGCTACTGCTGAGAAGGAAGAGTGATAAGGTAAAAAGGAAATTAGTTTCCAACTTCTATCTCCAGAGGTCCTTTGAGACATGTAGTCCCTCCATGGGCCCCATAATTGTGAGCAGTCATTCCCCGTAATGAGACTGTGAGGGTTTCCAAGTCGTGAATCTCCTCTACCATATCCATCAATTGTTTAATCGTTGCCCAAAAGTCTTGAATACATCTCTTAAGAAGGGAGGCACAAGTAGGGGCATACATATTTTTCTCAAGCTTTTTTTTTAATGAATGAAGAACTACTGACTAACTTAACACTCTCAGCCAATCAGCAGCTCTTCTGTCCAAAGCTTCTTTTTTCAAGAACCAGAATGAAGCAGGACGGGGAAGAGCTAAATTCAAGATTTTTGGTGTTTAACCATTCGTGAACGATTTAACCGCTAAAGGTGAGTGCCAGGCACCTGCTGGCACCATAGCAACTTAATTGTGATGAACTAGTTATAGTGTCCAGCGTGTTCCTATGACTATGTTTATGCTGATTACCTCTTTGAGTAAACACAAATATGTTTCATCATTCGACTTGCTTGTTCTTTACTTGTTAACTTGGAGGAACCTTTTCCAATACAAAGGTCTACTTAAGAGGCAGTTTCTCTGCATGGGTGCATTATAGCTGCGATAGCAGTAAAAATAAAGGTATTTTTGTATATCCTTTTTTAGTTTCTTCTCTATTCGATTTCTTCTCAATTTTTTTTGTGTGTGTGTGCGGGATAAGAGCTGTAGTACAAAGCTGATCCTGGGTGGGTGCACAGGGTGCACCACGGCAATATGCCAGAAGAGGATGAGCATGTGTCTGTCATTGAGAGTGCATGTTTGTGTGTTTGTCAGTGAGTGTGTTTCAAATCAATTAGATTGTGTGACTGTACGTGAGTGTGTGTCTGATTACAAGGCAGAAAGGTGGAGTTATTGCCATAGAAACTTTTCATGACTGGGTATTTTCAAAGGGGAGAAGTTTGTTAGATCATTACGCCCACGTGGGAGCGCCAGGCGTCTGCAACTCTAGGATTGGCCCTTGTAGTATGTGTGCCAGGGAGAGATGAATGCTGGTCCCTGGTGGTCTGGTGAGCAGAGAATCTGGTACCTCCTGGATGCTGCTGTGGAATTTAGTGTCATTTTGACATGGCAATTTGTGTGTTTGGGGGGTGTAACTGTGTGTGTGATTGGATGCTGCTTGTAGTGTTCAAATGGACAAAATCCAGAGGGAAACAACCGAATACCCACCACATTGGCAATTCTCAGATTTAATACACCCTGTTACAAATAAGTATGCAAATGATATTTTGCTCATTTACCTAAATAATTGATGTAAATAACAGTCAGCATAATTCTCATGTTATCAACTATTAAGAGTACAATTCAAATTTTTTTTTTTTTAACAAACCTCCTAATGATAACAGTATTTTTTAAAACCTAAAAAACTTACAATGCACTGTTCCAAATTATTACGCACAGTAAGTTTCAAAACACTTTATAGGTTGTAAAGAACTGAATAATTTGTTGTGTTTGAAGCATATTTACTGAAATCAAAAGCTATTTCAATCAATATTGTTATATTGTCATGCTGACTATATTGTGTCAAATTGTGAGTCAAATTAGATTGATATCCACTGGCGGCAACGCTGCCCTACAACCCGCTGTGACGCGTGCGTTCCACCGGTGGTTACAGGAACAGGAAGTAAGCCCTACATCACACCAAGACATTATCACACTTAATGGACTCCCTATATAAACGGATGGAACCAGGACCTCAACCACACTTCTGAGGAAGCCTTTTATAGGTGAAACGCGTCAAGTGGGACTTTTATGCTAATTTACCAAGTATTTTCCTATTTTATTTTCCGTTATTAAAATTTATATTTTTATCCTTTATTCATTTTTGGACTTCAACTCCTTTACCTCCTGGTTACCACCACATTCCCTGGTGGGGATTATACCACCTATGCTATACCAACTAGAGCAAGTTGTGCTCTAGCAAATGTGAGTACGTCATTTTATACTTCATTTTAATTGTTTTGTCAGTATATATTGCACTTTTGGATCTCTCCACATATATTCTGCCTGAGACTACCAAGAAGCATACTGCTTCACATATCCTTAGACGGGGATTGTTCCGTCCACGCGTATAAACAGCTGAGCTCTGAGTTAGCTCTGGTAAATGTGAGTGTAACCATTTAGAAACACTCATACATATACCCATTATACTTACCTTACTACACCATTATCCGTTTATGTTCTTTTATCTTTTTGAGGTCGACTGTATATTTATATCTTCACAATAAGACCTGTGTACGTATACGATTTTTTTTTTTTTTATTGTACTATCTAGGGCACGGTTTCCTCTTTCTCTCTGTCAAATATCTGTTTGCTGCTATGTAATGGTATTTTAACAGTTGCTGTCTTGATCCGATGCATGGATCTGGCAGAAATCTTCCTCAATGTGCCTTTATCTGCACGAACCCATCTGTGCTCTGAATCAGCCACAAATCTCTTAATAGTGCGATGATCACACTTAAGTTTTCGTGAAATATCTAATGTTTTCATACCTTGTCCAAGGCATTGAACTATTTCACTCTTTTCAGCAGCAGAGAGGACCCGTTTTCTTCCCCACATTGCATGAAAATGGTTCTCTGCTTAATAATGTGGAACACCCTCTGTCACGAACACACCCTACTCCAAGAGTGCGCATGACGTAGTTGTGGTTGTGAAAGGGTTAAAGTTCACTATTTGTCTGCACTAGACCGGAAATAATGACAAAATCCCCCTTTAACACCACCCACACTTAAACATAATAATATAACTATTACTATTTTAACGCTGCCACCACCAAGACAATTTATAAATGGGGTGCCTTGGTCCCCCAGGTAAATCAACAATAAAACCCACCAAATATTACTTAGTACAATATTCAAGGAATTAGAAAAATACTAACTAGTCTCTTCAGGTAACGTGATCCTTAACCAGACAAAGGCAAAACTTAATAAATTAATGTTTATTATGAGCAAAAGATAGTCACAGTGCATATAAAAATATAGGATAAACAAATTACTTACACCAACAACAGATAAAAACAAAAAGGATAAAATACAGAAGTCAGGTTTTCAAAGTACAACTTCTGTACAGGGGGTCTCTGGCAAGGAAAGATGGTGACTCACTCAAAATTAGATCTTGGCCCCAAGCAAGTACACCAACACCCTTCAGAATCACAGGAGATATACCCTATGAATTGCCATGCCTCATCCAGGGGGGGAGCAATAGGGATACTAAGTGACCACCTTCTTTGTTCCAGAAACCAACAAGCCACATACAGACTTTTGGTTTTATCTCCTCTACTGTACTTGCCACAGAAATAATAATTGCCTCTATGAATTTGTTATTGTTTTCTCACTCCAAAGACATGTTGCACGCCCCGCCCACGATCCAATAGGACGGACATCACAAGTCCTGCCACACGGTTTAAGTTGTGCAACTCATGTTTGGGCTTAATTAAAAGATTGGGCTTGTCCCATTCCAAATATAATAAAAATGAGGCTTAATTATTAACCTGTGGGTAAGTATGAATGTTTCACTTGGATAAGATACTGGAACACAAGGATCTTCATGAAATGAATCCCATTACCATTTCAAAGGATGAAGAGACATTCAGACTTTTCCCAAGTGTAGAACCTCACACCTTGCAGACTTCACATCTATATAGTAAAATCCTTTTCACATTGCTATGCCATTCACACTACCCCTTCTGTCATCTGACCTCTGTGGGGGTCCCAGCTTCAAAAGATGTAACCCCTGTTGACCTCAGCAATAGCATCTCTGTAATTTGTGCCATTTACTACACAAATTACATTAAAAGATGATATTCCATAGTGTAATAATAAATTATACACCCTTGCCATGACACCCTCCTTTAGTAGTTGTTCCTTAAATTGGGCTCACCTGGCAATCTAATTATCACAGGTGTCCGAGATTGTTTTCAGTGATTAAAAGAGCCCTGGGACACAATGCTATCCATGAGTTAAACTGAAAAACAAAATATTTAATCTTTTTGACACTTAAATAGAATTTGCATAATAATTTAGAACAGGGTAAAGCTAAATGCGTTCAGGATTCCGTTGATCAAACCGATTCTGTCATTTTGTTATGGATGAGTTCCGGAAAATACGCGCATCAAACCAATTTACTTCACCGGAATCTGAGATTTATCAACAAAATGCACACATTTTTCAATTTTATATACTTTTTATTCTTCAATTTTTACATTTGTCTTTCCACTATGGGAGTTAATCTACTCTTCTCTTATTATAGAAATTGCTTGCACTTTAATGTGTTGTATGTTACACATATTATGTTTATTTGTATTTTGTCATCATATATTGACTATTATGTCTCATTGAGCTTCTTCCGTCCAGTATATATCTTTAAATGAACTCTCCAGGCTATGGACTTATTACGCCAGTTACAATCATGGCATCTATGCTACTTCCGACATCCATATCACCGGGGAGGTCAGATCCCTCCTCCATAGATTGTGCTAGGACATCGGGACGTTTGGACGTCACCTATGTAATGACGTCAGAATGCGGAAGTAATCACAAAATGTCGGGTGGCGGGAAAATTAACGCCGTTACGGCTTCTATGCCCTCCCCATTATAAAGGGCTTTAAAGCCGTTGAGGCGGCATAGAACGCCGTAACGGCTTCCAGCCCCAGGAGGTAAGATTTACTTACCTCCGCCGCGATCCTCTTCGGGAGTACTGCCTGACAGCCCAGGCAGCCCTCCCCCTGCAAATCAGGCCCCCGGGGGCCATGTGATCACTCTCAAAGTCACAAACACTGGCCAAATATTAGTTTTTTGCTTTTTTCACACAAAAACAAATATGAATGCGGGGGGCGTGTCCTGACCGCGCATGTGAGCGGATGTGTGAGACCGGAGCTCCTCCGACACCGCGGCTACCACAGCGTGGAGTAACCGACAAAATACCGTCTAAACCTAGCAATAATAAGGGGAACTAATCTCCTATCCGATGGCGACGAAACCGCAAAAAAAATGAAACAAAAAACTATGCATGCCCACTTGGAGAGGAATCAAGTTATGGAGCATGGTGAGCAAGATGGCGCCGATAGGCCCAAATCCCCAGCATGCGACTCTGAAGCAGGGGATAGCAGACACAGCCAGGACAGCCCAGCGACGAACTCTTCCATAAGATCAATCATGCAAGAACTAAAAACATCATTCAAAGCAGACCTGCAGCAAATGGCAGCAGACACCAGGTCAGACATCAACAGCATAGGGGAACGCACTGCGCGCCTGGAAGAGCGCACAGAGGAGTTAATTGATGCACACAACTCCATGGCAGAGGCCTACACATCCCTAACACAGAAGATAAAAGCACTGGAAAGGAAAGTTGCAGATCAAGAGGATAGAAGCCGAAAGAAGGAATAACATACGCATAAGAGGTATCCCAGAATCTGTTACACAGACAGGATTAACCCGATATGTGCAAGATCTATTCAAGATGTTTATTCCCTCGCTGACGGATACGGAGTTGATCCTGGACAGGATGCACCGTCTTCCCAAACCCAAACATCTCCCATCTGACACAACAAGGGACACCACTACCCAGTCAAGGACCGCATCACGCAAGCAGACAGAACGGCAGGCGTTGGCCGGAACCCTATACTGACATTAAACTTTTCATAGACCTCTCATCAACAACCATGCTTGCACGACGCACGTTTGCGCCCATCACTGCAGCATTACGAGCGGCAAACGTACCCTACAAATGGGGTTTCCCTACAAAGCTATTAATCAAGCGGAATGGTGTGGACAAACCAATACTTAGCCCGGACGATGGAAAGAGGATCCTCCAGGAATGGAATATTCTGTTACAAGCCAGCAGTCCTAAAGGACCACTACAGACAACGGCACCAACACCTCTCACCAAAGACTGGGATCGAACAACGAAAGCTCCGCGCACATCCACAGACCGCAGAACCTCTCCAGCATGAAGAAACTACCAGATCAGATCAACGATTGGTGAAAACCGAATGGACTAGAAGTACAGGTTCTATAGTTCTACTTAAATTACTTGTCCCCTTGTAATCTATTCTGATATTGTCGGTTGAAAGTCCCTAGCCCAAGCCGCGACCGGGTGGAGTAACACCCGGACTCGCTTTGTTTGAACCCCAGCACTGTTACAGATCACATACGTTGTGGAACGTGACAATTTGCCCCAAGTGGGCCACCCCCAAGGCTCTTAAGGCTCCTAAGAGCTATACTTGTCCGTTGCTCTACGCAATCCAATGTCCCCATGTGGTGACATACGGAATACTGTATATAGTTATTACCCTGTTGCTTCCCCCCCCTCCCTTGTGAGTATACCCACGAATGTACCGTACCCATCTTACAACGAAACTCCGGGTCCTTCATATTTAAGAGTACAGCGAACCAGACAAATACATTATGGTGATTAAAATTATGTCCCTAAACACGAAAGGGCTCAACTCCCCGCACAAACGCAGGTTGGCCACACAGGAGGCTAGGAAAAGTGGCGCTCTAGTGGCGTTCTTCCAAGAGACACATTTCAGGTGGAAAGATAGACCTAAATTTACCTCTAAATGGTTCCCCCATGACTTCCACACCTGCTATACGGCCAAACAAAGGGGTGTTTCCATCTTAATAAGTAAAGACGTAGTATTCTCTCTGGTTCGCAAGAAAACTGATAGAAAAGGGCGCTACCTGATTTTGCAATGCCTTCTTAATAATAACCCATACACGCTAGTCAATATTTACAGCCCTAATGAGAATCAGCATGAATTCCTAACCTCGACCCTGGCCTTACTTGAAATGTATAAATATGGGGAGGTAGTTATTGGAGGCGACACGAACTTCTTACTAGATAGTGAGTCTGACTCGTCCACTGCTGCAGGGCTCTCAAGAAGCACCTTACGGCAAAGAGCAGCTCTAGCAGCCAAAGTGTGCACCACATTAGCCTGTAACCACTTGGTGGACCCATGGCGTATCCTCCACCCCACGGAGGTGGACTACACATGCCATACAGTGGCACACACTAGCTACTCCCGTATAGACCGCTTTCTTATTCCCGCCACCTTCATGACTATCATAGAAGAAGCTACTATTGGAACAATGTCATGGTCTGACCATGCACCTGTCACCCTTAGCATTAAAGAAGCATTCCCCAATAAAGGGACAGGCACTTGGAGGCTAAACGAGTCCCTTTTAACAGATCCCTCCATAGTGGCACAGATCACTACAGACCTCCAACACTATTTCACCGAAAACACAGTACATGACTCATCAATAGAACAGATCTGGCTAGCACACAAGGCGGTCATACGGGGTAGTCTTATAAAACATGCCAGTAGAGCCAAAAAAATAAGGTTAGCAAACTATAACTCTCTAGTAGCAGATATCACTACACTGACACACTCCAACGAACGAGACCCAAGCAGTACCACCTGCAAAAAACGACTAGACCTCCAAAACCAATTGAAAAACATGGAACTAGCCAAAACAACATATCTATTATGCAAAGCTAAACATAAATTTTTTGCCAACGGAAATAGAGCAGGCGCCAAATTAGCGTCACAATTAAAGGAGAGATTTGTCGCCTCCTGGATTGCCTTCCTAGTAGATAATAAGGGAATGAAGACTTTGAACCCACAAAGTATTGTAGATCTGTTTGCAAAATATTACAGTGAACTGTATAACCTCAAAACTGACCCCAACATGTTCTTACCTACCCATGACGACATTGACGGTTTCTTGACAGGCCTTGACTTACCGAAACTAAAAAATGGTGACCTAGACCAGCTACAACAACCATTCTCCCTAGATGAGCTCACAGCTGTAATATCGCAACTCACAGCCCACAAATCCCCAGGCCCCGATGGCTTTACGAATGCATATTACCAGAAATTCTCACACATCCTTACGCCACACCTCCTAAACCTCCTCAACAACTGTGCTACTGCGGGCGCATTGCCAGATGAGATGCTGCTGGCCCATATATCCACCCTCCCTAAGCCTGGCAAACCTCCCACCCAGTGTAAAAATTTCAGGCCCTTCTCCCTACTTAACGGAGACGCCAAAATCTATGCTAAACTCATCAGCAATCGGCTGGCCCCTCTCCTCCACAAACTGGTACACAATGACCAGTCGGGGTTTATAAAAGGCCGTCAGGGCTCTGACAACACCAGGAAAATTCTGAACATGTTGTCCACGCTTGACACTGGCGGTTCGAAGGGCCTCTTCCTCGCACTTGACGCGGAGAAGGCCTTCGACCGACTAAACTGGGAGTACATGACTAAAACTCTGCACAAATTTAACTTCCCTGTGTCTACAATTAAAAACATAATGGCACTATACCACAAACCAGCAGCCAAGGTCTCTCATGGAGGCGTTCTGTCCAACCCTTTCTCCATTACAAATGGTACTCGACAGGGATGCCCCCCTTTCCCCCCTTTTATATATACTGACCCTGGAACCCCTAGCATGTAAAATCAGATCACACCCTGACATACAGGGGATCCCTATACGAGACAAGATGTACAGCCTAGCCCTCTTTGCTGATGACATCTTCGTGGCATTAACAGACCCTACCCGCTCCCTACCCCATATGCTGGAACTCATACGACAATTCGGAAGGGTCTCCTACTATAAACTGAATCAAGACAAAACCCAAGCCCTACCCATCAACCTGCCGAAAACCCTAGCAGACTCCCTCCGCACCACATACAAATTCGATTGGAGGACCACCTCCATTACATATTTAGGGATAAAAGTGGCACCCTCCACTTGGGCCACGCTAACATTAAATTACACACCACTGCAGACGCATCTCCAACCAATACTGCAAAACATTACAAAAACTATGCAGTGCATTTATTTGGGGGGGCAAGAAACCTAGGGTGTCTATGGCACTCCTTCAGACCGCCACCCACTCTGGCGGTGTTGGCCTCCCTAATCTCAAACAGTACTATAGGGCAGCTATTCTGTCCTCAGGTGTCCTCCTACATGCACCACCTAACATGACCCAATGGGTGGATATGGAAAGAGCACAATTCCGTAATCAAGCCCTACTCGAATATCTCTGGACACCCAAGCACCTAAGATTGAAACGACAGGATCTCTTCCCAACCACCCAGCTCACGATAGCAGTGTGGGATGAATTTATGAGAACCATAGGCTACAACAACTCCTTCCACCCTAAATCGCCCATTTCGACCCTCAGAGCAACCGTACCAGACATACCACTCCAAGACTGGCACAAAGCAGGGATCAAACACATATCCCAACTGATGACTGAAGGGAAAGTAACACCCTTTCCAACACTACAGGCACAGTGGCAACTCCCAAGCCGAGCCATCTTTTCCTACCTACAGATTAAAAGTGTACTACAAGCACACGCGACAACCTCACACAACTCAAAAGGCTCACAGTTGCTCATTGACAGATGTTGGTCCTCACCTAACAAACCTAAAACACTCACACTGTGTTACAAAACATGGCAAGAACTCACGCCAACAAAACCACATCCACACAAAGCCCAATGGGAAAAGGACTGTGGCATAGCCCTATTAGACACAGAGTGGCTCCACGTACTAAACGGGTTGTCCAAATGGACAAAGTGCTTCTCACACATAGAAGCCCACAGGAAACTCTTGTACCGGTGGTACATGACCCCACAAAGACTTCACCAGATATTTCCCACGACGAGCCCGCTGTGCTGGAGATGCAAATCAGACCCAGGCACACTACTACACTTGTGGTGGTCCTGTAGAGACATTAAACCTCTCTGGACTACAACAAGGTCAATCTTAGCTACACTAGACATCCCAAAATTTGAACTGACTGCATCCATTTGCCTACTGCTACTGTTCCCTGCAGGCCTAAACCCAGGCCAAAAACAAATCTTAACGCTAGTATTACTGGCATCAAGAAATCGCACTCAATTGGAAATCCCAAGACTGCCCTTCTTTGCCACAGTTGACAGATAAAGTAGAGCAATTTCATATATATGAGAGAATGGCAACTACATCCGCGAAAAAAGTAATACAATTTGAGGCTACTTGGGGTAAATGGGAAAAAGAGTTTGGACGGACAAAAGAAAGGGCACAAACAATGGCAAACACTGTCAAAAGCACTGACTAGGAACATAACCCGGATTATCCTTCCCCCCACCATAATACTGACCCCAGGCCAGGACACCAATCAAACGACCACGGGTATTACTCACGCACCCCTCCCCTTCTCTACCCCCCCCCACCCGCCCATAGCCTCCCCCCCTTTGTCACCCTTGGCTCCCCTCCCAGGTTCTGGACTCCCAACCAGGCTCATGCCACCCAGAACCTTGAGAAGAAGTGAGAAGCTATAAAACAACTAATGCTCTCTCACGCCACTGACAACCCACAGTGCAGGTGACGATAAACTGAATGTCTCACTCGAAACTGTATTATGCTATCCCATGAACGTTAATGCCACAATGTTTAACACGTATTTGTATTATGATGTCGCATAACCATTAATGTCACAATGAAACAAATATCCCACGCATGCCTGTAATACAATGTTACGTAACCATTAACGTCACATGGAGAGTGACACCTGTCTAACTAACCCTCCTATCTTCTTTTCTGTATCCCGAACCACTCTGACTAAAGCAATAAAACATAAATTTGAAAAAAAACAAAACAAATATGAATGCTAACTTTGGCCAGTGTTTGTGACTAAGGGGCTACTACAAAAGACTGGACATACCCCACTTGCAATACCTTGGGTAGTCTTTTGCAAATGGTATGCCATCATGGGGGTAAATCTCATTCCTGGGCTACCACACGATCTCAAAGGTAACATTACTAATCTAGCAAATTTCAATGTGAAAAACCTGAAAAATGGTATGTGCTATATTTGACCCTTTAACTTTCCAAAACACCATAAAAACTGTTAACGGGGGCTACTGTTGTACTCGTGAGGCTTTGCTGAATCCAAATAATTGCACCAGCATAGGATACAAACTCTCAGGGCTGTCTTTAATATTGATTGGACCCGGGGCGCATATATATATATATATATATATATATATATATATATATATATATATATATATATACACACATACACACTGAAATACATGCAGACACACAGATATACAGACACATATACACACAATGACACACATGCAGATACATCGAAACACACAGACAGCATACAGATACACATTGACACAAATACAGATAAACACAGATATACAGACACATATAGAGACAGACATACTGACACATACATAATGACATATGGACACAGACACATACACTGACAGACACAAAAACTGAGACATACTGACATACATTCACAGACACACACAGACATACTGACACACACCCAGACAGACATACTGGTAGACAGACATACTGGCACACACACGCAAACTTTACACTTTAAAGCCCCCCCTCAGGTAGCCCCCCTACCTTCCCTGGGGTCCAGTGTGCTGGCTTGGGTGAGTTGGGAGTTGGTGACTGGCTCTCTTGCTCAGTTCCCCTCCTCGCTGCCTCCTGGCTTAGACTTCCTCCCGTGCAGCTCATCATCTCTGAGGGAGGAAGTGACTCGCGGACGTCACTTCCTCCCAGGCTGCCGTTAAGCAAGGGTCCGGTCGTGTAGTGAAAGGGCCACAGCACCCGACCGGGCCCCTGCTAAAACATGCTCACCTGGTGGCCCTAAGTGTATTGGCCCCTCGGTGAGCCCCCTTAGACCCAATACCAGCAGTGCAGGCCCGGTGGGGGGGGGGGGTTATGCAGGCTATGGGCGGCAGGGCCACAGGGCCACAGGGCAGCTGCTTTGGGCCCCCCAGGAGTTTGCCCCGCGTTAAAGACAGCCCTACACACTCTCTCCCACTAAATTAAAATGTATGCTGTTTTTGCCCAACTTTCTGCTTGCCAACCTATTCAGGTATGGAATTAATGGGGGAGAACCAGTGCAAATGTACCATGTAAAATGCTAAAGCTGGAGCCCAAAGACAGACCCCCAGCAGTTGCAGAACTGCAATTTCCATGATGCTTAGCCAGCCTTGCTCTCTTCTACAACAACTGCAGATCATCAATTTTCCCAAAAGTTACAGCCAGGGTGGCCAAACTCCAACAATGAATGCAGGGGAATATTTGTTTGCAGCATTGGTGTTTGAATCCAGGGTTATATTTGTGTGCATGTTGGTGTTTAAATGCTGGGATGTATGCAATCCGACACACACAGTGACACAGATATGCACACGCACTGGCGTACATACCAGGGTCGCCCCTGCGACCCGGTATGTACGCCCAGGGCCAGCCTCTTCCCCTGGGGGGCCCAGGAGCCGACCACCCCAGGGCCCCCCTGAGGCTGGCCCTGCTGACCCCGGGCGGCCGGTCGGGCAGGCAGGTGGGCGCGCGAGGGAGCAATCAGTGCTTCCTCTTCAGCTCCCTCGCGCACCACAATGATACCGGAGCCGGAAGATGACGTCATCTTCCGGCGCCGGCATCCCTACGCGGCGCGCGAGGGAGCTGAAGAGGAAGCACTGAGTGCTCCCTCGCGCGCCCGCCTGCCTGCCCGACCGGCCACCCGCCCAGGAGCCCCACTGGACCCCAGGGAATAATCCCCCCCAGCACTCCAAGAGGTAAGGAGGCTGGGGGGATTATATTAAAAAAAAAAAAAATCATGTGTGAGTGTTAGTGTGAGTGTTAGTGTGTGTGAGTGTGAGTGTTAGTGTGAGTGTTAGTGTGTGTGAGTGTTAGTGTGTGTGAGTGTTAGTGTGTGTGAGTGTTAGAGTGAGTGTTAGTGTGTGTGAGTGTTAGTGTGAGTGAGTGTTAGTGTGAGTGAGTGTTAGTGAGTGTTAGTGTGTGTCTGCTAGTGAGTGTTAGTGTGTTAGTGTGTGTGTCTGCTAGTGAGTGTCAGTGAGTGTGTTACTGTGTGTGTCTTACTGAGTGTGTGTGTGTTAGTGAGTCTGTTTGATGTCTGTTAGTGAGTGTGTGTTTGTCAATGAGAGTGTATGTTTTGTAAGTGAGTGTGTATGTATGTCTGTCGCTGACTGTATCTCTGTCAGTAAATGTGTGTGTCTGTTAGCTAGTGTGTATGCGTCTGTAAGTGAGAGTGTGTGTGTCTTCAGCACTTACCTTTCTCCAGCGCCGGACTCCCTTGGTGCTGAGGATCCCTCAGCCTCTCAGCTCCGAATGCGACCGCGCACGCATTCAAACCGCCCATAGGAAAGCATTACTCAATGCTTTCCTATGGATATTCAATGTGCTCCTCTAGCGGCTGTCAGTGAGACAGCCACTAGAGGCTGGATTAACCCTCAGTGAAACATAGCAGTTTCTCTGAAACTGCTATGTTTTCAGCTGCAGGGTTAAAACTAGAGGGACCTGACACCCAGACAACTTCATTGAGTTGATGTGATCTGGGTGTCTGTAGTGGTCCTTTAAAGGACCACTATAGTGCCAGGAAAACATACTCGTTTTCCTGGCACTATAGTGCCCTGAGGGTGCCCCCACCCTCAGGGACCCCTCCCGCCCGGCTCTGGAAAGGGGAAAGGGGTTAAAACTTACCTTTTTCCAGCGCTGGGCGGAGAGCTCTCCTCCTCCGATCCTCCTCTTCTCCTCCCCGTCGGCTGAATGCGCACGCGCGGCAAGAGCTGCGCGCGCATTCAGCCGGTCACATAGGAAAGCATTCATAATGCTTTCCTATGGACGCTGGCGTGCTCTCACTGTGAAAATCACAGTGAGAAGCACGCAAGCGCCTCTAGCGGCTGTCAATGGGACAGCCACTAGAGGAAATAGGGGAAGGCTTAACCCATTCATAAACACAGCAGTTTCTCTGAAACTGCTATGTTTATGAAAAAATGTGTTAACCCTAGCTCGACCTGGCACCCAGACCACTTCATTAAGCTGAAGTGGTCTGGGTGCCTAGAGTGGTCCTTTAAGTGTGTGTGCATCTGCATGCACTGGCGTACATACCGCGGTCGCAGGGGTCGCAGCCCTGTAACCCCTGCGACCAGGTGCCCACCGCCATGTGTTGCGGCCCGGCCCGCGCGGGGGGGGGGCCCACGGATCAATTTTCGCACCGGGGCCCCATGGGTCATGTGTACGCCACTGTGCACACGCAATCAGATACACATACAGAGCCGATCCTGGATGCACAGCTCTTTAGACAGAGGTGCGTTGATGGGGAATGCAGCACTAGGTCCCGCCCATCATGTTAGGCTCTGCCCCAAGTTTGGCTCATCTCCCACCAGACCACCAGGGTTCAAGGTGTTGTAGAATTATAGAATTCTTGAAATTATCTAAGCTAATACTTTGGCAGGAAGAAATGTGCGTCAGCAGAACAATGAGTTTCTGTTGAATGAAATATTGTAGCAACTGAGCCACATGTTGGTCTTAATAAAGTACGTGTCAGCTGAATAATAAAATGTGTATTTACTAAAAGAACCTTGAAACTAACAATACCAACTACTCAAAATGGCTGCCAAAGCACCCCTCCCATCGAGTGAACACCTCGTGCTTGTGTCCACTCCCGTGTCAAGGATGACACCACCTCTTGATGGGAGGGCATCTAACTAACCACTTAACACCTGAACCAATTAATAATGTTTATTTGTTGTTATCTTGAA